TCTCTGAAGCAGACCGCGCGGATACCTTTGCGCATGACAGCCCGTCGGGAAAGCAAAGAGAGAATTGGGATCTGCCTCCCCTTTCCTCTTGCCCCAGCGCCACGGGTTTGCCCACGGGGCTTGCAAAGAAAGGGGAGTCAATGGGGAGTGCCTTCACTTGATGTCGTCATCCTGCTAGGAACAGCGGCCGAGGACTGCGAGGTTAGGGAAGGTAGGGACAGAGTGGTGGTGGTTGGAGTACGTAAAATTTGATGTGTACGGTATTTTCACTTTGGGTGCACCATGGGCTCGACCGATTTTGAAGGGAGGAGCGTTTTGTTGCCTAGTCAGATCGTTCGGGGATAAGTGAGATCGAACACATCGTGTTTTTGGGCACCGTCTCCTCCTCCTGGACCCCTCTACGACGTTAATGCATCGATTGTTTTTTTTTTCGCTCCCATATAGACGTGTGCCAAGCCTCTGTAACAAGTTCTGTATAAGCAAGCGGCCCGAAATCATGTACGATGCACGTTGGCTCTAATGGTGGGGGCTTATTCGAGTGCCGCGGTCGCATGTCTGTACATATGAAGTTCACACAAGGAGATAAATTGCTGCTGAGACACAATAGTTAGAACTTCATACTTTACAGGGGCAGCCCATACAGGAGTGACTCATTCGCAGTTTTAGGCACCGCTATCTTTAGGTGCCTCTGCCATGTACGTCGTGGTCTTTTTTGACGTTATAAAACAGTTTGTGAATGCGGGTACAGTCACGATACACTGCTCTCGTACACTTACCATATTTACGTGAAAAAGAGCGAGAAAGATGACACAAAACAGGCAGCACGGGCGAACGATAAACGGCTAGCTACCACATTTGTTGTTAGCTGTTGACTAGCGACGCAGTCTTGCTGGTACCGTCGGTGGAAACTGGATCATTACATCGTTTTTCTGATGTATTGCGTTGAGTGACAGTTTCCTTGGTACATCATTATAATACATCGTAGCTTATTGCACTACAGCAGTAGAAGTAACAATATTATGTAGTGAGAGCACTTCTTGATACAGGTAAAATACAACAGTGAAAAATTTCATGGTAAACAAAGTGGTGTTCATAACGGCAGCACCACATTTTTGCGACCGGATCAAGAACATGATGCGTGGAAGTTGCTTATAGACGTTGTCATCGATGTACAAAATACAGCGTCAGTAAATTATCGTGAAAATTGGTTCTGTAGCCGAAACACGTGTGTGTGTGTGTGTGTGTGTGTGTGTGTGTGTGTGTGTGTGTGTGGTGTGTGTGTGTGTGTGTGTGTGTGTGTGTGTGTGTGTGTGTGTGTGTGTGTGTGTGTGTGTGTGTAACCCATGTGCGAAGAGAATACGTGGTCAGTAATGTGATGAAAGGGGCTAGTTTGTTCATGTTGATCTTTTGCGATGCGCTTACGGTAAGCAGGGAATTAAAAAAAAAACACCATACACATTGGTACAGGTAACACAGCACAGTGAGTTGCAGCTACAAATGACCTCTACGGAAACCCAAAAGGTGGTGGAAGTGTTAAGAAAGGGAAAGGAGCAGAGGCAGAGCGACCGCGTCGGGAAGGCATTGGTCCTGGGTTCGAAACCCGGGCCAGGACAAATATTTTAGCGACTAAGAAGCTTTGCTTGCTGAGAAATCCGTACGGATTTCATTGTGGCTACGCGCTACAAATGGGTGGTATTGTCCTTTCTCTTTCTTAAGGCTGTAGTTCGCATACACCGGACACAGTGAGCACAGGAGGCAGTGTTCTGTTACCAATCTGCCCTGTGTTCCTTGCAATTTGTGCTAACCGTAAGCGCAACGCAAAAGCGAACACGTGGTCAAAATTCAGTGAGCAAGATGCGAAGTTTCATCTAGTTGGACGGCGTATGTATGGCCCCATGTGTCTCCGTTTTTTTTTTCAGTGCTTTATACGATGATGCAGTACAAACTGCTCCATGCAGAGAGCCACTCTTCTAATAATCGTCTATATACTTCTACGAATTAATTCGCTACTTGGAGTGTTGTACAACTGAAGTGCAATCTTTTCTTTGGGTCCATTGCTGCCTCTAAGCACTGGCTTGTCCAGCGCACTCCATGCAGATAACAGTGGTGGTGGTAGTGTCTGTCGAGAAAGAAAATACGCTCATTTCTGCAGCCCAATGGAAGCACGGTACAGCTTCTATAATAGTGTCGTAGACGAGCAGTGATGTGGTTTGCTCGGTTGGACTTCCTCCACGCCCCTCCTGCCCGCCACCGCCCGCCCGCCTGATTGCTCCTCGCGGTAGCATGGCTTTCGGGACATGGGACGGCCACTCACTCCCACTGATTGCGGCAGCGTTGTCGATTAAGGTAACGCCACCCGCCGGCCTGCCTGTCGATGCATTACGTCGTAATACAGTGGGCAGAGACGTGGGCTGCAGCTCTCGGCAGCCACGTGATCTCATTCCTTTCGCTTCTCCTTCCTGTCCACGGCACATTGCAACTTCGCTTCCTCTCGGCCGGAGATTCTTTGCCCATTATGTAGCTGCAGCTTCTCGGATATCGTGTCTCCTCTTACCTCTATACGTTCTTTATAATATGTGTCCCGGGTTCAGCTCGTTGTTCCTCGGCAGCGGATCGCCTCCTTCAGGCGTCGTTCTTTTTTCTGGGAACGTTGTCTCAATTTTCTTTTTCACCGATCGGAGCGGTCGTGGCTTTCGTGTCAGCCCTGTCGGACGCTTCCGTTAGCTTGTCCGTCGCTCGCAATTATTATTTTTTGTGACTTTTGTCTTTGACGTACCTTTTTTTTTTTTGCCTTGCCTCTAATCGCGCTTTCTACGAGAGTGCCGGTCATTGAGCCGGCTGTCAGCGCCGCCAGATGGCTCCCATATATAACAGCGCGCCAGGTCTCGTTACGAGCTTGACGTGACCGATAGCACGCCCTCAGGTGGCGCGCAGAAAGAAATATAAATAACGAGGGGGATTTCTAGAAACACGGGTAGTAACGAACGGGTGGCCATGAGCGTCAAAGTTCGGGGAGACGGGTGTCGACTAAAGGATAAAGCGAGCCTTCCCATTTTTTAAAGGCTAACAGCAGTTGAGGCCACGTACTTTATCCGGCCTTCTTTCTTGGCGTTTGGGTATGTAGCCGTCAATCATCGTATTTATTTAATGCTAACTTATTATGGGGCACAAGTTTTTGAAGGGCCGTCTTGTGCCAGTCTAGCCAGGGCTCAAGCTCTGGTGGGACAAGTAGCGGTAATCTTTAGTGCTGTAATCATTGTCGTCGGGTAGAGTGTTCTGCTTTTTTATAACACACTCGAGGTTAGCGTTCCTTCTTTTTTGGTCATGCGTGTGCAAAGGTCTTCAGAGAGACGCACAAGCTCCGCCTTTTAGAGGCACCTTATCTCAGAGGCCATGATACGATGGGGCATTGTTGCTTACGCTATAGCCGGTTATAGCATTCCTTATAATATAACTGGCTAAGCATAGAAAGAAAGAAAGAAAGAATGAAAGAAGGAAAGAAAGAAGAGAAAGAAAGAAAGAAAGAAAGAAAGAAAGAAAGAAAGAAAGAAAGAAAGGAAGAAAGAAAGAGAAAGATTGAGCTTCTACAGGGCGTAAATCTTGCATATAAAGGACCTAAATAAATGAATTGTTCAGCGTCCACGTAGGAAATACACCTTGCTGAATGAAACAAGCGAGAGAGGGAGAGAGCCTTCGACATTGATGAGCAGATGACGCGTTTGATTGCATCTCTGGCACCTCTGCGAGATAAACGCGATGAACGCTCAACGAGGCGTTCCGCGTGATCGCTTCCGGTTCCGCTTCCTCCGCGTTCGCTCTCCCTGCTCCGTCTAAAGGCTTGGCCGCTGCTTCCACGAGCGTTTTGGTGTTATCGTTTCGATTCCGTAAGTTGATAATGATTGATATGATTGATATGCGGGGTTTAACGTCCCAAAACCACCATATGATCATGAGAGACGCCGTAGTAGAGGGCTCCGGAAATTTTGACCACATGGTGTTTTTAACGTGCACCCACCCTCCCTAAGTTCGGGGCTCAAGCTGCGTTGCAGACACGCTATGGCTTTAGTCTTTTTTTTTTCTTTGCACATCTTCGCAGTATAGAAAGCATCTTCAGTGCTAAGTCCTGCTGAGCTGAGACTTACAATCCTGAAATTTTACGTTGGCAATGCGTAAGGTAGTAGCGCAGACATAAAGCCCAATAATAGGGGCTGTGTTGGCTTGAGTCATAACCAGAAGTTTTTTCGGGTGGTGCAAGAAAATGTTCCGACTACCCACGCCCCTCTAACTACGCCAGTGGTCTTGGCTTGTGGCCCAGTTGTGCTTCAGTTGTTTTCTTAAATTCATAGCTATATGTTTAAATCAAGTTATGCTCAGTTGTCAAATATATCCGATATAACTTAACTTCAACCAGAGCAATTGATTTTCATTTTGTAGAAGACTTTTTATGAATATTCTTAAAACCGGAAGTGAGTGCTCGACCGGATGTACCTTGAATAAAAGTGAGTGTGTCTCTCGGTTATGGTTTCACTCAAAAAAAAAAAATTACTGAGTCTAATATTAAACCTACTTTCTACACCAGGCCCTTTGAGACGTAATATGAAACGCAGCACTCAATGAGCGCTCTCGAGCACCCTCTATTTAAAATATGTCTTAGAAGCAACGTTCTTTTTTTCTATCTCTTTCTCTTTCTCCCACTTCTTTTGACCCTGTGGTAGTGTGTGCATGGTGCAGTGTGCTGTGTTTTTCTCCCAAGCCCTTTACTGTACTCCTATTCTTCTCCTGCCTTTTTTACCCATCCCCCTTGAACATTGCGGTTGTGGTGTCCTCGTCTTAGAGACAGTCACTGTTTCACTCAACCCCATTATTCACCGGCTTTCATCCCAATAATCTCCCTCCGCAATGTGAAATTATCTCTTGATTGTTCACCGAGGTTCCCAATACCATTGCTCAATGCGCGCACGGCGTCTCTCTCGGATCCTCAGGCTCATAGTTCTCTGTCGGTCCTTGACTTCGGCGCGCTGGCGTGCGTCTCGGACCTGCAGCAACACATGCTGGGCTACTGCATCATTCTGAGCGGCTGCGTGGTCGTCGAGGCCTGCATCTCGTGGGTCTCCATGCGCGGGAGCATTCTGGACACCGCACCCAGGGCCTCCATGCAGCACCTGCTCTACGTGCGCCTCGGTAAGTGTGGTGGCAGAAAAGCTCAGATAATTAGTCGGGATTCTCGTTGAAAGACGGAGCGTCCAAACACGCACGCGAGTGGGAACCAACCGCCGATTAACCGTTTGATGGCCCTACTGAAACATTCCGTATGCGATGTCCAATAATTCCGTATGTTTCCGTAAGAATCTTACGGAAATATATGGAAAACATATGGGAAACATATTGCCGCGAACCATGCATTGGGTTTGTTTATTTATATAATGCATCGGCTGTGCGGGATATAAATTCCCGCACAGCCGATGCCGCGTCATTCGATCGCTGACGCTCACTAGCGTGCACGTCGTTTTGCCGGCCGCTGCTTCGCCGCCTGTGTATTCGTTCAGTTGTTAGGGGAGCACAGGTTCGCTCCAATAAACTTGTTTTCCTTATAGACAACTTCGTCGTCCTTTGCTTCGTGACAATATGTATTCTTTATGGAAACATATGGAATTATTGGACTCGCATACGGAACGTTTCAGTAGGCCTGGTGAAGAAAAAAATAATCTCGTTTTCTAGCCTTAAATAGCAACCTTTAAATGATTCCGCAGTTCAATTATTCTAAAATGCACCTTTAATGCAAACCTTTATGAATGTCGAGAATTCTTCACCCGCCACGGAAGCGATGACCTTGGAATGAAAAGCGCACTTCAGAACTACGCAACGTGGTGTGTGCCACGTCTTGAGCGCGTACACAGCTATAGTAAACAAGATTATTGAAAATGTAGCTTGCGTCAACCAGGCGAGAAGTGAGCGCTCTTGCACGTGATTCGTGCTCTCCATCATCAGCTACAAAACAATTGGTTCTAGCTTAATATACATTACATTAGACAGTGCTAGATTATTCATGCCAAAAGCTACGTTCCACGTGAGTACTTGATAGCCGGCATTAATGGCGGCACGCATTCCATCACTTGATTACTCAAAGGTTTTCGGTATGTCTCGAGTTCGCAAGATTAGGCAGTAAATGGTTAACTTGCTTAAACAAGAAATTAAGTGAAGGCACAGTTGTCTCACACGTAGAGTCACACATGCGCCCGATCGATAGATAACGCCTCTTGCCTATAGGCCTTCTTTCCCGCTACTGTGCGTGTTTTCGGTTGTTAGTCGACGTCTGTGTTCTTCTGGTTACACTCTCGGGTGCATGTTTGTACGGAACGTCTTTCAACATGAGTTCGTATACCGTTATATGTGTATAGACACTGTGGTTAGCATACCTGTCAATGAGGTTCCTTTTATCTTTATTGAGGCGAAAGAGAGAGATAAGCCTGATTGATGGCGATGACAGCTGGAAAGAAAGTTGAGGGAAAAGGATTGCTCATTTGCGGGGCTGTATACCCAAACTCAGCCACCCACATTTCGTGCACCGATGTGCACGGCTAAACTGAGCAACCATGCTAAGCCGTCGTACTGTATAGTGGTTGTTCTGAAAGAAAAAAAATTACGGCATATTCACGGGGTGAATGATGATGAATGGGCGAAGCTCCGGAGGGATTCATCGGTAAACTGTGAATCTTCCGTGTAATTCGCCCAGTCGATCATCATGTAAAGACGTGAGAAACGCTGTGTGTGTATATACACAAATCAACTTTTATTTGTTCTTAGACGATGGATGGCTTGCGATGTCCCTTGCCTCGCGCGCTCGCACATCGGGATTCTGTCTGCGAGCGCGCGCTGCTGCCGCCTTGCGCTCTCTCCGCTGTGCAGCCTTATCCATCCGGCGACTCCGAGCGCGCGCCAACAGCGAACGGATTTTATTACAACGCTCCCCCTAGCGTACGTCGCCGCACTAAATCGAACGATTGCCTTCAACCAATGACACGCGCCATATGTGACATCATTCCTATTTTATAAGATCTCGCGTCTTTCATCAACTACAAGTACCGCTTTCTAGTTTATAACATCTTGCATCTTTTCATCATCAGCTACAAGTACCACCATCTAGTAAACACTACAAGAACTAAACGAGAGGTGGCTACATACAGGAGACGGTACCGCCATCTAGTGAACACTGCAAGAACTAAACTAGAGGTGGCTACGGTACCGCCATCTAGTGAACACTGCAAGAACTCAACTAGAGGTGGCTACATACAGGCTACAGGGGACGCACAGCCCACGCCCTAAGGAGCTTCGCCCCTAAAAAAAGGACACTATTGCGTTCAGGTGACTAGAGTATCTCAAGATTTCATTTGACCTGAGGCTTGTCCAAATCGCAGGAATTCTTCTGATCGAGGTGTGTTGGCTCGTCGTGGGAGTCATCTGGGTGAGCAAGCATTACGACAGCTGTCCGATGGGTGTCGCCAAGGACGCCATTCTAGGTACGTACTCCTCAATAGCAGTGGGGGTTTGTTTTTATCACTGTTCGCCATCGTATGACCGTATAATTCAGCGCGTTGTTGTCGGTGCCGCCTTGCTGGGGGCTGTTGCCCTGCAGTGATCCCCCAAACAAAACGAAAATAGCTTTGCCGTGACATCATCAGCCCTTCCTCGGGTTAATACGTAGATCAGACGACAACAATGACGTAAGTGCAATGCAGCATCGAACGCGCATAGTTTTCTGTTCTAATAGTGATCATTGTTTTGACAAATATCGCTCTTTTATTGTTTGCACCGAGCGTCTTTTGGGTTACACTTCCCGCGTGCACTGCTTCTTGATGTGATAGTGCCCATGAGCGTGCGCACAGAGAGTTCGGCGTAACCCTCCCCTCCCCCCATAACAGTAATCTAAGGGGACCAGGATGACGCGCCTGTCCCAAACCTTTACTCGACCGCGCGTCATCACATCCCACCGTTTCCCATGTTTTTGTCAGAGCATATTCACGTGATGTTATAAAAAAAAGTGCTATCGATGGCCCATATACGAGGAATATAAGTTGTCTATTGCCTCCTATCCTGTTTTGCATTGCAAGGTTGTAAGTGAGAGAGGGGGGTTGCAGTTCATATTTTTTTTTACATATACGAAGCAGTACATTACTAAAGTAAGGACGAACTATGATTTTTCGTTTCATATGGCCGCACGTTCTGACCAAGCATACTCGTACTCTTTAGCTCCAGCCTTTTTCTTGTGAGCGCAGCGCAGTTCCAAGTATGAATCCGTACCAATTAGCTTGGTTTTCCGTTCCAAGGCCCCATACGTTTGGCATATTCATTGCGGGGCTAAAAAGTTGGCTCGCGTACCATGCTTCGCTGTTCCTTTCCCCCGTCATATTCTCGTGCTTGGTTCGCAGGCATCATCGTGTGCAACTGGTGCGTCCTGCTGAGCGTCCTGGTGACGGTGTGGTGCACCTTCGACCGCGCCGGCCGCACCTGGGTGAAGATGAAGCGCTACCAGCGCAGCCTGCAGGATGGCAAGCTGCGCTACAAGAGGTCTGGAAACTCGCAGCGTAACTGGAGGCACCGGTACGGCATGCACGCGTGGCACCGCTTTGCACTTGCACGCGTGGACGTATATAACCTGGTACATGCGTTAAGCACGACCAGCGCAAACTGCACGCAAACTGCACGCAAACTGCGCGCTGGGGCACCGGCTGCCGTGGAGCTACTGTCGTGAGATATTGGTTAAAGTCCTGCATATGGCCAGGAAACCAGACGATGATAATTTAGTTTTCTGACTATATTAACGCATTAAGCAGGACATGATCGAGAGTGTATCAACTCGCACCACTCATTGCGAGTTTGAGCGAGAAGCCATCGCCGTTGTCCGCGGGCTCTTAAACGAGGCCGTCCAGGCTCTGCAGAATGAAACTAGACATCCGGAAAACCACTAAAACTTCGCAACTGGGTCTCTTTTCTCTCCTTTCTTGTTTCCGTCTGTTTTTGGCGCAGTTACATACATTACGGGTCACGACATGATTCTAAGAGACGCCGTATAGTGAAGGGCTCCAGAAATTTTGACCATGTGGTGTTCTTTAACTTGCACATGACGTCATGCACTACACGGGCCTCTACCATTTCACCTCCATCGAAATACGACTGCCACGGCCGGGATCGAAGCCGTGACACTGGGGTCAGCATCCCTGCACCATAACCATTGTTCCACCACGGCGGACATGTATGCCTGCCTAAGGTATTCGCTACGTTTAACCAGCGTTCTAACAAAGAAAGAACAACATAGTATGAGTGTAAAAGCGGTGTTTATCATAAGTCTGTACCTCGCGACACAGAACATCTGTTGAAAGCCGCGTCTATCTTCTTTACTCGTTCGTCATCTGTTTCTCCTTCGTTAGTTGGAGGTATGGTTTATTGTCCACTAGCCCAAACGCAGTCGCTATTTCGCGCATTTTATCGAGAGAAGAAAGTAAACGTATGTGTAATTTATTATGAAACTCGATAGGCCAAACACCATCGCACCGCTGTACATTTCAATGGCTTGCAGCGCAAGAAAAAATAAACGCATAATTTTCGATGTATTCATGCGCGAAGGGCTTGGAAAAAACTATCGATTCGATTCTTCAGTGGCACACGGCAGCCATGTTATTACAGCTAGAACAGCGTGATTTACCGTGCGAAGTGATTAATTAATTGACGCGAGGATGTCGTTTCTCAAAACTGCGTCATGAAAAACCGAAAACCCAGAATAACACAACACGTGTTCACTGTCGCATCCTTGACGCTCTGAAGCGGAACCCATTTCTTAGTTCACTACTTTACTTCCTACTTATTGAGATGTTAAGGGGACCGCCAATTCATTATTACGGTACCTGTTTCCCTTGGCGTAACAGAAATCTTGCTGGGTGAGTGTGTAATCACAAAATGAAGAAATGAAGTTTAAACTTAAGGTCTTGTTTTTTTTTTTTGTTAAGGGCAATATTAATTAGATTGAAGAGACAATCATGCCGAGCAAACTATAGGGGGTGCTATCAGAACTACTTCTTACGCGAATCTGGAGAATGAAAAGTGGACGAAGAGATAACTTGAAACCGACAGGAACGGAAGTTGCGACCTTCTAATAACACGTCTGATTCCATACCGGCGGCTCAGTTGGTAGAGTTGGCTCAGTTGGATATTACTAACTATTTCATAGTGCAGTATAAAGGTACATAAAGGCAACTACTAAGTCGGCGTTGATTGTTGACATAGCGGCCCAGAAACCTCGTGTATAGTGTTGCTTCTTTGTCAAGGAAGTGCTTATTTTAAAATAAAATCGCGTTTTAGTGGTCCGCATCGGGTTGGCGCGCTCCAAATTACCGCCTCAAGCAGAACATCTCACGTCACTGTTGCCGTGCGCAACGCTTCCCCATTAAATGTTTTAATGAAGGACACGACTGCGTGGCCGCCGACACTAGCTCCGAGATGGCACACGTGTTCGGTTCAACTGGACCCCGCTAGATGGCACGACCTGTCTAGTTTAACCAGGAGAAAATTGAATTTTTTAACCACTTTCGCCATTACCCATGGTAACGCCCGGTGGCTCGTTTTTCCATGAATCAAACAGAAACGAACAAGCAGCATTTTATTACGTCTCTTGATGCACGGAAGGTTCTTTATTGAGTGCAGCTAGTTAGACTGCTAGAGGTTAATTGTAGGCTGGAACTCTGACGTCATTGGGATCATTTTGCAAATGCACTACGATTGCGCGTGCACGTGTGTTCTCGAGCATTTACTTTACATCCTTGGTAAGTAGGGCACTGCGGCTCATAATGTTGTCGTTTTAGGTGTTGCCATACATTGAGCTTTCAGTCTAACGTAAATTGTTATTTGACCTTAGTGCATTTTTGAGGCTGTTCTGCTACGCTGTGCGACAAAGTGGTTTTTATTTAATTTTAAACGCAATTCAAAACTGTAACTATAATAGAATCGCCAAACGAACGCTTGAATTTGTCATTATAATGCGCGGTGTTTTTGTTTCTCCTATGGCCTCATCACTCCACCTGGCCAGTTGTCGACCACTTTAAGCTAAGACGAAAGTATTATTAAGGGCATGACACGTGGACAGCCCTAGAAAACAAGTCATGCGTGGTGGCGTTGCAGTTATGGAGCCGTCAACGTGGAACAGAGTTTATGCCTAAAAAATAATAAACGAAAAATGAAGCTTCACTCAGGAACGCCGCCGCTGTCGCGTTTGTCAAAGAAAGTAATATCTTCAATAACGACACGGTAGGGAGGGTAGAAGGGGGCGAGAGCGAGAGACACGAACACAGCAGCAGATGAAAAAAATATGGTTATGAACAATGTCAGTCAGACGATGTTGACTTTTGAAAGGTGGGGAACAGGTTGACCAGGTTAGTAAAGTTGCTTGGTGACTTGTTGGAAACCGCTGATAAACCAAGACAAAAGAAACACAGTAGACGGAACAATTGATGTACATTTGACATCACTGTCTTCGCGTTGGTACTTTCCTGGAAAATATTTTACGCTGTGTGTCACGATTATTTTTTTTTCTTTCTGGTTACGTCGTGGTTGCAAATTTCCGACTCGACCTTTGTCGCCTTCTTAATTCCTGTCAAGAGGCAGCCGGGAAAATACCGAGTGGTACGACAAATCAGTGCTGCAGCTGTCCCCACGCCTGGTGCAAATCCCGAGCACACCGATAAACTTTTTTTCTTTCCCCAAAATGGCAATGACATTTCAAGTGACGTGCGGGTCGCGAGAGACAATGAGATATTAAATATGGAGATTTGAGCGAGCGTTTTTCTGAGCTGTTCATTCGTCCGAGTTCTCACATTGCGGTGATCGTGGGGAATGTTTTGACAAGTAGAGCTTAAAGAAAAAAACACAGTATGGCGGGAGATTCTCGTTCGCTCGTGAAAACGAGAGGCGTTAATTTAATTACTACGTAGGCGCAGTAATTAGTTTACCGCGCATAAATTAATTCCAGCCAGCATGAACGGAAACGTAGTAAATATGTATTCACTCCTCAGTGTATACTGCCAACGTTATTTGTGGTCAATATGACCGTCGTAGCTATAACCTAACTGCTTCCCGTACAATTTGCCAAGAGTATATATATATATACACGCCCGGTATTTCGATGGAAGCGAAATAGTGGAGGCCCGTGCACTATGCGATGTAAGAGTGCACGTTCAAGAGCACCAGACAGTCAAAATCAATGGAGCCCTCCACTGTGGCGTCTCTCATAATCATATGATGCTTTTGGGACGTAGAACCGCATGCACACATTATTATATCATATATAGACTATTTTACGGATGGCCGTGAGTGCCGCCATACTGGGCTGTTAATTAACCTTTGGGATTAGTATCCTTGAAAACTAAACTAACCGTGTGAGGGTATAGGCGAATATGCGCGGGAACGGTTCTGTCGCGCCCCACCATAATTAATGACCTTATTAATCCACTTCGCGATGTACAAAAACAAGAAAGCATCGGCTTAACCGTCCAAGATGCCGGCTCCTGATGTCCTACTAAAATGACTCTACACCCGGACACTGCGACCGAAAATACGTTGGCGTGAAGTGCAGACAGCTGACGGCGGGAAGCTGACAGCATTATTATGCAAAGAAACCGATGTAAAAAACAACAGATTGGCGTTGTAAGAAATGCTACACGCACTTGAAATGTTGTGGAGCGAACGACAACAAAAGGGAACAGTGAGAGGGGGACTTGTAATCAACGTGTTCGTAAGAGCACGAATGTGCAGATGAAATCTGTACAAATTTGTCCCGTGTTGGTGTTATCGATTGCGTCACTTGCGTGCTTCGACCAGATAGTCTCATGGTTAGCTAAGGTCGTAGAGCGACCATTCTGTAAAGACAGGTTCCTCGTTCGAATCTCGTGCAATGGCAGCTTCTTCGGCAACTAACAAATTTCCCTTCTGTCGCATCCACGCGAAGTTGCTCTCTGGCTTTCAACTACAAAAGTGCCTATCCCGCTTACTTCATCTGTTTTGATGAACTTTTGTCTGTGTTGCAGGTTTGACAAAGACTGCTTTGTGAAAGAATATTAACGCTTACCCACGCGTAAGTACGATGATGCAGAAGGAAAGTACGCAAACATACGCTTATTTAGGTTTTCCGTAGATTCCATGCCGCTTCGTTGAAAAGTGCTGGTGCATAGTAAAGGATGAGGTTCTTTATATTCTCCTCGCACGCATAAAAAAAACAGCATTGCACGTACTTTCAACACCTTGCATCACCACGTGAACGAAGCACAATTTATTGATTTGTGGGGTTTAACGTTCCAAAACCACCATATGATTATGAGAGACGCCGTAGTGGAGGGCTCCGGAAATTTTGACCACCTGGGGTTCTTTAACGTGCACCCAAATATGAGTACACGGGCCTACAACATTTCCGCCTCCGTCGGAAATGCAGCCGCCACAGCCGGGATTTGATCCCGTGACCTGCAGGTCAGCAGCCGAGTACCATAGCCACTAGACCACCGTGGCGGGGAGAACGAAGCACAAACGCGCAGTAAAGGGTCGTTGAGCTCGAATGTCAAAATATCAACGTGCCGTGAATGTGACTGTCATCGGAGCAGAATAAAGGTCGAATCGAATTGCGATGGCTCTCAAACAAGCGAGCTATAGAATCACTTTCACAACAGACCAGATTCATTTACTGTCTTGCACACGTTTAGACCAAGCATACCTGTGTGCTACCGTCGCCGAGTTATATGTGCGCGCTTCGCATTTTACTTCCTGGCCGTAGCCACATCCTGAACCGCGTACTCAGATGAATATTGGCTGCTACCCCAAATAGTGCAGTGCAGTAACAGAACTTGCGGACGCCGTCGCACACTGGCCACATAGGGTTTCCTATCAATAAACTAGAGGGAGCTCTGGCGTTATAGAGTATGGCAGCTGCAACGCAGAGCGCTTCAGCTACTTCAGCGAGCATAGGAATGATGGTAGTACAAAGATTGGTCTAATCTTCGTACTTTCGACTCCGTTCATGGCTTCGCGTGGCTTGGAGCTGCTTTGTCACAAAACGACAATCGGCGAATGCTCAGCAGTTACACTTCGCCACATTAACCTTTTAGGCTCATCAATTCAAATCGGATCATGCAGTTCACAACAGTCTGTTCTTTTATTCGAAACAAAACCAGAAACACAGCAATAAACAATGTGAGAAATGCGTTCGAAGCCCGCAAGCACGAAGACTGGGTAAGTTTTTATGCTACCCATCATTCCCAATGATCGCTGAACGATTGTAGTGCCAAAGTTCTCTCTAGTTAACTTTAGGAAGCGCTATAGGTAGCTGTCTAGTGACTACCTCAGCAAAGACGACCGGTGTGACGGCACTGCTGCCGCTGGAAGTCGCTCTCGACACGACCTCTGGCAGTGGCCATGCTGAGAGAACACTGAGAACCGCGAAGCGGCACAGCACATGTCATACTGCCACTCTCACCAGTGACATGGGTTCAATCTCTGACACTGGCAAAACAGCCACGTAAAGGAAACTGCCCACACGAAGGCAGGGTTAAGCAACACGACACAAGCGATTGTGTCGTTTGCTTTCACTCGTCCCTGTCTGTTCATGTCTGTCTCAGCGAGCCAGAGTACTGTTCTTGAAAACTGAGTGAGAAATTTGGAGAGAAATGTTTTAATGAAGGACTCGGTAGGTCAGCCTGGCTACTCGCCTCACATGATTATTGCGATATATACAATGTTCTCGCGCGTACATGTATACACATGTATGCGCGCACACAGATTGCACTGTTCACCATGCCTCGTTATCACTCACGGTGTGCAGGAAAGTCGGCAGCGCTTTTTTGCGCGACGCCATGTTGAACGTTTGCCACTCGGGCGAAGGTTAGCGGTGGTTCGAGTTCGCGCGTGACGTTTATGCTTACGTCATGGCGAGCAGAGGCCCAGCTACAGCGTTCATTGGAGTAGGGAAATACTCAATGGCGCAGTCGGCATGGCAACTGCGGGTTCGCCTCCGCCACGTTTGGCGTTCTGTGAACAAAGGAGGAAAACGTGCGATAAATGCAGGCGATCGTCGATTCGTTCCACTCGACGTGCTGGCAATCACTGCGGAAAGGGTGCCGGTCACTTCAACTATATACAGTTGTGCGGGGGCCACGATTATCACACGTGTGCGGCGGTTGAATCGTGTAAAGTGACGTGCGTTTCTTTAAATGACCCCTAAACGGCAATACAGTAGTTCTTTATCGCTTTCCCCATAACTTTCCTACGAGCGCAACCTCCTCCTACTCGCCTCTTATTTCTTTGTGAAACACGTGGGATGTCGGTACTGAGCGTTGAGCCAGCCGGGACATCGCTGTCCTGCTAGACACTGCTATCTCGACCTGCGTACTCGCAAACGCAAAAAAAAAGGAAAAGTAAGTCAAATCGGTGTATCGCGCTCGATAATCATGCAAGATAAGGGAGACCTCGCACGCGAATCCCGGGCGAAGCAGGTATAGGTGACGATTCACAGCGAATACCTTTCGTATATCGAACCCATCGAGAGCTTAATTTTACTCTGACGTCACGTGAACGAACTGTGCCGCAAAGAAGGAAAACGCCGAGGCAGAATGACGCGCTCGTTCTTCGTGTTTTTAAGAGTTGGTTTAGGGGCTTCTCAAGGTTTTAATTGGCTGTCCTTTATCACGTGCTCGCACGTAACGAGCAATTCGGCCGCCGCGAGTGCGCGGTAACTTTCACCCCGCCACTTTACTGCGGTTGTTAGAATGACGCGCCAATACCAGTGGCGCGTCATTGTAACATTCTAACGTATAGCCACATCCTCACCCGCGTACCATGAAGAAAATGGCTGTTCACCCATGCACCCAGTAAAAGGCTTGGTGTATGTGTATAGAGCACTGCAAATAATACCATGCCTGAATCCTTTCCTAATCGATTCTCAACTCTGTATCGCATTTGTTCGTTCACTGACGTTTGCAGGAAAGCTGTTCGCGAATACCAAGACAGTTGGAACAAGCGGTGCCGTCTACTCTTCTGTTGTATGGGAACCAACGATCGCAATCGAGTAAGTACACCGTTTTTTTTAACCTGCTCGTATTATGTATAATATGAAACTTGTGGCAACCAACGTTCACATCTTTTCTTGTTGCCCCGCCGCCGTGGACTGGTGACTAAGGTACTCGGCTGCTGACCGGTCGCGGTATTGAATCCCGGCTGCGGCGACTGCGATTTCGATGGAGGTGGTAATGCAGTGGGCCTGTGTTCTCAGATTTGGCAGCACGTACGTTAAAGTACCCCAGGTGGTTGAAACTTCGAGAGCCTTCCACTACAGCGTCTGCCAAGATCTTTGGTGATTTTGGGACGTTAAACCTCACATATCAATTCAATCATGGCAAAGTTCTTGATCCGTCTGTCTGTCAACGATTTAGTCACCCGATTGAGCCCATGATTTAGTAAATGAAAGTCAGATATTAAGCATATTTCAGTCGGAAAATCAATATATGGCTTGTGCTGACGTCACTGCAGTGAAACTACCGTGTTGAAGCACCAACATGTGAGGCAGTTACGTTCCCGATGTCATGTTAACATTATCGATACATCACATGTAGGTCATTTGATTTCGACCGCACTGAGACGTCCCTGACGTGGCGTTTTTACATAAACGCAACTCGTTTGTCATCGAAGCCGTCATTGTGGAGTCCCAGTTTTTTTTAGGAGAATGGCTAGTTGTGCAAGTTAGTACTGATTTATAATGTACTGCGCAAAAAAACGAAAGGAAACACGAAGTAGAGAAAAAGGACAGACGAGCGCAGCCTATCAACTAAAGCTTTATTGCAAGACCAAGGCAATACATAAAGGAAAGGATAAAAAGCAAGAGAGGGTATGTTGTATATTGCCTCGATCTTGCAATAAAGCTTCAGTTGATAGTCTGCGCTTGTCTATCCTGTTTCTCTACTTCGTGTTTCCGTTCGTTTTTTGTGAAGCACATTATAATCCCTTGAGAAGCTGCGGCTGTCACGTCACGGGCAAGCCATCTATACGAAAGTCTTGGACAGTGTGTCTTGATAAAAAAAATGCATAGATAGAAAATTTTAAATACCGAAGTGTTTATTACACTGCGCTGACACTATGAACGATAAGGCGGGTGTTTCCTACGTCTCGCTAAAAAAATTTAACTAAAACGACTCGGCGATGCCACCTACCGAGAGCTCTGCGTTCTACAAAAACTTTCATTTCTTCACATTGCTGCCAGATGGCGCCATACCGGCTTCTTTTGCAGTGAGGCACCGAGAATTGGTGGCAAATTTTTTTTTTTTTTGAAGGCGTGTCGCTGTCCAATTACTGGGGCCGACGTGGACGAAACTGCCTACGTGGCGTTCCCTTTAGTGTATACCCATGTGTGTTTGAGTGTGACGAAACAGGCCTCACCTTTCTTTTATCAAGCCACCGTGATTACAATACTATTAGGCAGGCAGCGTGGTAATGCTTTGGCTGCTACGTTTCTTCTTCCGTGGCTGTTACTTAAGCGCAAGGGAGAAGAAAAGGGGAATGCATATGTAACCTGTACGTAGCCAAGCAAAACAAAGAAAACAAGTAAACATAAAATTTACACGTCACAAATGAGCACGAAAACACCGATTTATCTCGGTGTACCGAATGTACAAGTTAAAGAAACCATAAAGGAGAGTGAATTGCTCTCATTGTGCTTGGAATAAGTTTAGAAGATTTACAGCACAGTGTACTCTTACCACGATTCCTACTATGGGAGAGCGTTCAACTGTCCCAATACCAGGGTGTTTAGAAAAAGAAAATTATTTACACAGACAGAGGACATCAAAGACATTTGAACAGAACATTTCAACAGAACAGAACATTCACAGACACACAAAATTGTTGCGAAAATTTTCTATACATATGTACATTAGATGTTAACCGAAAGTAAAAATAAAACCTGTACATGTATGTTTTACATATTTACATGACATTTCTGCCGGTACTGAACAGACATTAGCCTACCAAAACCAAGTAGGAGTCTTCTGTTTCTCATTGCGCATTAGCTGCGATCGGCATCATCCGATAGGAAACACCGGTCTATCACTGCGCGCTTTGCGCCTCCCTGCGTTCCCTTTAGCGATAAATGATGTAATTTTCAAGCACGACAGTTTTACTCGTGTTAATTCCTTTCATTCATTCATTTATTATTAATGCCAGCCCTGTTTAGGGATATCTGGGAGTGAAAAATAGAATGCGAACATACTGTCAATGTACGTATAAAAACAAAAAAAAACTTGAAGAAAAAATATGGTATAATCGGGTACATCACACTTTTGACGATGTAAAACGTATCTTTATAACGTCACAGTACTAGAAGTAGTATACAACAAATATATGAGAAACTTGGGAACAGTTACAAAAAGTGGAAGAATTCAACAAAAAAAACTGATATATGCAAAAAACACACAAGAAAAATTGGGTTTGCCAATTGGGGTCATGCTTTCGGGTAGTCAATAATTCTAATAAAAAAATGTCAAAGGTAGGCGAGGTTACAACGTCAACGGGTAACAAGTTCCATTGATCAATTGTTTTAGGAAAAAAGCTAAATTTATAGCATTTATTTCGGGCAAACTGCGGGGAAATATACCTGCTATGATGATGTTAAAAAGCTTTATTGTGTTCAATTTGAAAGTATTCATTGTGATTTATTTTATCTTGTGGTGTATAATTTTATAGAGGCACTTTAATCGCTCGAAAAAGCTTCGGACATCGAGCGGGGAAAGGTCAGCACGTTTGCACAACTCAGAAGGTGAATGGCATCGCTTGTACTTGTTAAAAATAAACCTCGAAGCAAGTCTTTGTACTATTCCAGTTTGATTTGGTTTGATTGTGCATAAGTGTCCCATAAGATTTTAGCGTACTCAAGAATATGGCCTATCAACGTTTTCTATGCTAAGCTTTTAATACTTGTGGTGGCGTATCTCAGTTTCGCCTAGGCGCCCAGACAGCCTTATTGGCTTTAGAAGAAACATAATCGATGTGGGTAAACCCCAGCGTAGGTCACGCGTAATTGTGAAACCAAGATATCTAAATTCCTAGACGTTCATTAGAATCCGGTTGCCAATGAAATACTGAAAGTTGAAGACACTTTTTTTTTGTGTGTCTTTCGAGAGACGCCCAGGCAGACTTGAAGCGTGTCTACACGTAGACGTGTCGACATTGTAGGATCTCCAATTGTCGAGCGAGAGTATGCCGTACTGTTAGAGTGAACGGACGCAGCAGACGCGGTCGGAACAAACCTGACAGTACACATTTAGTCGACTACTTTTGAAGGACGATATCGTCAGACCAAATTATTATAACATCAATCGTGATCAGCACGCTAAGACATCGCTAAACAATATTAAACAACACTCAACAACACGGCAGATCCACCGCTGCAGGCATCCGTCCGTGCCACCACCCCCCGCCAAAAGAGACTCGTCCAACTCTCTCGCCTGCCGCCAAGGCTTGCCTTCCGCTAGCGGTCACCGCCGGCGCTACCGCTCATCGTAATTTTTCGAAAGAATGTTTTCTAAAAGAATGTGCTAAACCTAATACACGCAGTTGAGCTATATATATATTTTTTTCAAATTTCATATCGCTTTTAACTTTATTTTGCCTAAGCAAACGTGACAAAAATGTAAGAAACTGTAATCCGGTTCGTAAATATCAGTGAATATATCTAACTGGAGTTAAGCCTTTTATAGTGCCTAAATCGATGCCTGTCGTTCGGCGTGCGGTTGGGGGGGGGGGGGGGGGGTCCTGAAGGGGAAAACCTTTAAGGGGAAAACCTTACACTTTGTTTCACAACTCAGACGTAACGCTGCGAAAGCTGCGCAAGGAGATCATTCAGCAAAACTTACCACTCCGCGCGTGTAATGGTCGGCTGTTGTTGTAAGCGCGGGCCCAGCGTGTGCATGCGCGTGACGTGTCACCACCACCTAAGAACGAAAATGCCGAAAAAGAAATAAAATTGGCAGATCCCACATACAGGGGGAATCGGTGATATCCCCAACTCGAAAGTTATCATCACGGACTCCCGGAAAGCATGTGCTCATTACTTGGTAGGAGAGATATCCCCCCTAGCCAGCCAAATTCTAAAACGGGCTCTCGCTGATCCAGCCCCGAAACGCATCGTATGGGCTCCTGGCCATCAGGGCTGACGCGGCCGCCCGAGCGCTTACCCACCGGGCTCCTCACCTTGGCTCTTATGACTCGGAGGCCAATACACCGCTGCTGCGGTTCAAAGAAATTCTGACCTATTATCGCGACACTCACCGCCTTTACCCGGCTCCTGCAAAGGGGCTGAGTAAGGCGGAAGAGCGAACTCTAAGGCGCCTGCAGACAGGTACTCTACTCTGTCCTGCAATCCTGAAACATTTCGATGCGAACACAGATGGGCGGTGCCCACACTGTGGGGAGACGTGTGATATCTTCCACATGGTATGGGCATGTCCGAAAAATCCCCACCTACCCCCTTCCCCTACCCCTTCCCGAGAAGCATGGGAGACTGCCCTCCTCAACTTCTCATCACTAGAGTCTCAACGGGCTCTGGTGAGACGGGCGCGAGTAGGGGCCTCGTCATGCGGTGTCCCGGACTAAGGACGCCGACCATGTAGCGGGGTCATGCTTTGGCCCCGTACCTCTCTCTTTCATAATAAATGTTTTTCATCATCATCATCGATGATATGCGAAGCACGAATGAAAAAGGTTGATATGTCACTTTAAAATGAGCACAACATTACCAGGTGGAGGTAAACGATGCGGTACATGACTTCCGTGTCATGATTATCATGTTTGAATGTGTCGTTTACCTTTGTCATCTATTCAGTGACGTGATACCAAATTTAGTATTTGTGGAGCTAGCGAAACAGTGGCACGCTACGAGTGCGGTATGTTGTCATGTTCTTGCGTGACACGCGTGTCAGGATTATCATGTTTGCACCAGTCATATATTTTGTCGTTCATTGACGTCATGTAACACCGAATTTGGTATATGTGGAGCAAGCAAAACGGCTGCGAGCGCGACATGAAGGGCCCTATATGCTCTAATGTAGCGTTGACGCGCGCGCACGCTGGGCACAGCGACGCTATACGTTAGCAAAACGCGAGCACTCTGAGTCTGACGCCAGGCGCGACCAGCGTCCGTCGGCGCGCCCGACGGCAACTGGTGTGAAATGCAACATGCTGCATTTCGCGCCGTTGTGTTAAGCAGACAACACTGCGTCTCCCTCTTTTCGTGACGGAGGCACGCTGGACGCGCTGAAACGCGCATGCGTCCAAAGCAACGCAGTGCGGTGCTTGCATGCGAGTATATGGCAGGACCGGCGCCTGGCGTGGCAACGCTGGCGTGACGCGACGAAATGAACTCCGGCGAGCTACGCGCACAGCGTCACGTCGAAATGCATTCGCGTCTTGACTGCGGAATGTAGTCCATGTTTTCACATGACACGCATCTCATCATTATCATGTTTGCAGCAGCCACACACCTTAGTCATTCATTGGCGTCGCGTAATACCGAGTTTGGCACATGTAAAGCTAGCGAAACGGCCGCGAGCGCACCATGTAGTCATGTTGTTACATGACACACATCTCATGTTTATAATGGTTGAACCAGTATCATACTTTCGTCATCCATTCACGTACCGTAATACCGAATTTGCTATATGTGACGCTAGCGAAACAGCCGCGAGCGCATCATGAGCGCGGAACGTAGTCCTGTTGTTGCATGACACGCATGTCATGATTTTCACGTTAGGGTCTGTCGCTTGTGTACGCCTTGCAATCATGTCATACCATACCAGTTTTTCAATATGCCATGCGAATGACACCACTGCAAGAGTTGCAGGACCATGATATGCAAATCATGACATTCATGACATACATGTCATGATTTTCATGTTATGGCTAGTCAAATATGTTCTTCATACAGTCATGTTATGCCATACCAAGTTAGGTATCGATACCGTTATTGAAACGGCCAGGAGAGCTAAATGTCGTAGGTGGCTTGATTGATAGATACGCGTTAAGTCGCCGAAGTTCGCTAAAAAATGCTTCGCATTTAAAACATGAAAACGTTAACTGATCCAGCCATGCTGTAAGAACCATAAAACAGGGTTTTGATTTGTTTAGTTGTAAATACTCCATAGAGTAATTATCCACGTAGTGAATGATAATGAGTGGATCCAAGTGTCCATCCGTCCGTCCGTCTAGCCCGTCTGTCAGGCCGTCTGTCAGGCCGCCTGTCTATTTGTCTGTCAGTACGTTCTTGCGCCCGCTCCTATCACACTGAGCACGCATCGAAGAGACGGACACTTCATTTTTAAAGACGATAGTCTTTCTTGCGGACCTCTGACAGAAAAAAATTTAGTCTGTCTGTCTGTCTGTCTGTCTGTTTGTCTGTCTGTGTACATTTATCTATACATTTGTCTGTTTGTCCGCCCTTACAATACCTCAAACAGCATCAAACGGCCAACCCCATTCGCAGCGCCCACCGATAATACTCAAGGTTTAGCGTTCATAGTTGTGCAATTGTAAAATTAAAAAGCAATTATTGCGCGTATCTTAGGCGTCATAACAAGACTTCGAAGTTTCGAATGTCTGCCTTCATACTAGAAGGGGCACACACGAGTAACTCTAAGGAATGTAGCGTTTATCGCGCTGCGCTGACAGTGCAACGCGATGCTCAAAAAGATGTTTTCAACGCTTTGCTACGACGGCAAGGTGGTGGCACCGTCATATCCGTGACGGAAGTCCGTGACGTCATATCAACGTCATATCCGTGACGGAAGTACGTCAGTGAAGTCGATCACGAAAGCGTAATCGGCTTGTCCTTGTTCTTTTCTGCTGCTGCAGAACTCGTTCGCAGAGATCGCCAAGCTTCTGTCAGACTTCTTCCGCGACCTGGACGTCGTTCCCTCGGACGTTGTGGCCGGGTTGGTACTGCTACGGAAGTTTCAACGACAGGAGCGTCTAATCATAGCGAGCCAGGTAAGCGATTATGTCCATGGAAATAGTGTTTGCGCATTTTTAAATCTCGATGGGAATTATAGCAGAAGTGTTAAGAGGAACTTGGAAGCTCGAAGAGATTAAAAAAAAAAAACCTTCAAACATGGGGCGTTGCTAGACGTCAGACGCTCTACAGTCTTCATGAGATTTTGGGGAATGTCAAATCTATAGCCACAGAAACAGGCGAAAACGATTTAGTTTCCTGGTTATACCTTGCAATTTAAGCAGTACATGATTGCGAGTGTACTTAGTAGCTGTCTCTAACAATACGAGGCAATTTGTCGAAGCATTGACTCCAACTGCATATTCTGTTCAAGGATTTTGCATATACGGAAGCGATGACATGCATGCTCTTATCTTCAGCAGTGAATTTCACTTTCCCCCTCGTTACAACATTTTACACACCTCCGTTGTATCACACAAAGCTAGGTATCCCGGCTGCGGCGGCTGCATTTCCGATGGAGGCGGAAATGTTGTAGGCCCGTGTGCTCAGATTTGGGTGCACGTTAAAGAACCCCAGGTGGTCTAAATTTCCGGAGCCCTCCACTACGGCGTCTCTCATAATCATATAGTGGTTTTGGGACGTTAAACCCCACATATCAATCAAATCACACAAAGCTAGGTGTTCGGCCTAGCGGGTATAACGCATAGCAGATGAATCAAGGGGGCTCGAAAACGACCTTGTATTTTTTTATAGTAAACTTAAATTGGGAATGAATAAATGAATGAATGAATCAACGAAACCCTTATTTCAAAGAGGGGGCAGCTCCCTGCCACAATTTGGTATTAGGGGTGGAAAGAATTGTTGGGGAACAGCGTAAGTATATTACCATGGTGTCATTTCATCGGACTTGCTCGAATAAGCACGGCCGCAGCTGTCTTCGGTAGATGTTAAGTAGTCGCTCTCGCTCGAGATGGTCGACCACTTTTAGACCACTCGAAAAGGCCGCGGGATCGAATCCCGGCTGCGGCGGCTGCATTTTTAATGGAGGCGAAAATGCTGTAGGCCCGTGTGCGCAGAATTTGGGTGCATGTGAAAGAACCCCAGGTGGTGAAAATTTCCGGAGCCCTCCACTACGGCGTCTTTCATAATCATATGGTGATTTTGCGATGTTAAACCCCACATATCGATCAGATCAAAATAAGACCACTCGAAACAGTCCACTAGGATAATTCGCAAGCGTTTCTTGTGCTTTATCGTTTTATTGTAACACATTTCCGAAGGTTTTCATGTGGTCGGACGACAGGCGTTGGATTGATTGATTGATGTGTGGGGTTTAATTTCCCAAAACCACCATATAATTATGAGAGACGCCGTAGTGGAGGGCTCCGGAAATTTCGACCACCTGGGGTTCTTTAACGTGCGCGCAACTCTGAGCACACGGGCCTACAACATTTCCGCCTCCATAGGAAATGCAGCCGCCGCAGCCGGGATTCGATCCCGCGACCTGCGGGTCAGCAGCCGAGTACCTTAGCCACTAAAACACCGCGGCGGGGCGACAGGCATCGGATGTTCGATCTTCCTCGCGAGAAAGCTTAGCAACTCCAAGTTAGGTGGTGGAAATTCGCTCGAAGGGATACTGACTGCGTCGGCATCTAGGCGAAATGTTTTTTGAAATTGCTTCTCTGGCCCCCATTCATTTGTCAATTGCACGTGTTGTGTCTGCTGCATTGATCATGACCTCGTTCAGAAATACAGTATCTCTTGGGCGCGAGTAAGTCCGCGCTTGTCGCTTAGCAGAGCAGCGGATATAGTTTGTAATACCCTTCGTTTAGTATTGGTCTTTTTTTTTAGAAATACATTGAAAAAAAAAAGGTGTGCCTACAGATCACGGGAGCACCGCGGATACCACGTCTCGCCGATATGTATTCTATCCAAGCTTCAACTGTCTCTCCGTTCCATCCTCCGGGCGTTTTACGAATCAGCAATGCCAACTAGATGCTCAATCCGTTGTTTGATTGCTAATGCCCGAAATAGATGGCGAAATAGAGGAACGCTTCAAACAGCAGTCGAAACGGTCGAGCGGTATCTGGAAGGTACTGGGCTAGCCTGCTCTGCGGAAAAATCAGAGCTGTTGCTGTACAGACCTACTCGTAGAGGTCGCAAACCAGGCAACTGCCTGCAAGGTCTTGCTCATAGAGAAGAAATACAGTTAAGAACAGCCGATGGAAAAACCATACCCATAGTCGACAGGATCAGAGTACTGGGTCTGCTCATCGAAGCCAAGGGCAACAATGGAGAAATCCTCAGGCGACTGGATGCAACAGTAGCCCAAATAATGAGACTCATAAAAAGGATAGCAACTAAGCGCAGTGGCATGAGGGAGGAAAACACGATAAGGTTGATACAGGCATTCGTTATAAGCAGAATAATATACGTAGCGCCATACTTAAAATGGCAAGTCGCGGAAAAGATCAAGCTAGACTGCTTCATTCGAAAAATATTCAAACTAGCTATAGGGCTACCGATTAGCACAAGCACCGACAAACTGTTACAGCTCGGCCTGCACAATACAATAGATGAACTTATTGAGGCGCAGCGTACGGCGCAATATGAACGTCTCTCTAAGACACGAGCAGGAAGACATATTCTAGAGCGACTAGGCATAACGTATCACACGCAACGCGGCGTTAAGGTGGACATTCCAAAAGAGACCAGGGAAACAATGATGATACCACCCTTGCCAAAAAACATGCACCCCGAACACAATGAAGCTAGACGAGAGACAAGAGCAAAACAAATACAAAAAAAGTTCGGTAATGACAAGGACGCAGTTTTCGTAGACGCTGCTCGATACAAGCGCAAACGGGGGTTTACCGCAGCCGTAATCGATAGCAACAAACGCTGTATGACATGCGCAACGACATGCACAACAAGTACCGAGACAGCGGAAGAGGTAGCCATAGCGCTCGCTGTAGCTCAGACAAACGCAACCGTGATAGTCAGTGACTCTCAAATGGCAGTGAGAAACTTTGCCAACGGCCGCATCTCCCCGTAGGCACTACGTATTCTCAAAGGAGGGTGTCGAACAAGCCCCAGAAATACTTATATTATATGGACACCTGCTCATGCCATCGCGGGGGACAGCAACAATGGGGCTGTACATGACGCAGCTCGAGGGCTCACCGACCGAGCTGCCCTCTCAAGTGCCGCCCCAACCTCCTCCGGTGATTACGGCGTGGCAGACGAGTGGGAGTGGGGAGACAAAATGACCAGATACAATGAAATTACAAAACATTATAGATTACAGAGGGGCATATATCCGCCCCCTCACCCAAAATTAACAAAAAGACAGTCTGTCGAATGGCGGCAGTTACAAACTAGGACACATCCGAATCCTGCACTATCGCACATTATATATGCTGATATATACAAAACGGACAGGTGCAAGCGTTGCGACTCCAGAGCCACTCTGGGGCATATGTTATGGGAATGTAGAGGGATTAGTACTCATAACAAGTATGCGGCCTCTGCTGACAGCCTTCGCGCGCGCGGGGAAGCCGCAATGCTCAGTTCCATCCTCGAAGACCAAATGTGGGCCGTCCAGCGGGCCGAGGAAGCCGCCAGGATTCAAGGACTCCTGGCCGTAACCTAGGCGGGCCAATCGCCCACCCCATCTACTCGCCGGACTCTAAATAAAGTTCTTTCCTCCTCCTCACTAGCATGGTAGCCTTGAAGATGTAGAGGCAGCATAAACACATCTCGCTTGACCTGCTTTGAATTGGCAGCAATGTGGCCAGAATTTCATTGGCCTCTGTCCGTCAATAACGAAAAAAAAAGCTTGCAAGTGATATAATGATAATATTAACGCTTGACGTCACAAAGAGTGCGCGCGCCATGTCGTTCACTAACATGCCGGTTTAAGCGTCTTCATGTGGAAGCCATCTTTAGGCACTTCGTTAGGGGCGCCACGAGAGCAAGCAAAAGGGAGCTGCTTGGACAAACTGTTTCTTGTCCCTTCACGGGGCCGCGTTGGTTGTCACGATTTTCCCGTTTTGTGTCACAATAGCGTTGATGCGGGCTGCTTTGCAAGGAAAGGCTGATTGCAGATGCCGAAGGCGTTCAAAGGGTGAAGGCTCGCTGCGAGCACAAGGTCCTTGTATCGATCGCAAACAAACCGCACACGTGCTGGAACAGCAGCCGCCATATGTCTCACAGGCCGCGGATGTCGTCGCTCGCTAACAAGGTCCGCTCGAAGCTTTGTTTGGCGCCAAAGTGTGCGCGGCCCGTTCTACCGGCTCAGAACGGTCGACCGGCGAGCGTCGGCTTGTCTCGGTTCACGGCTCGCCTATTGGCTGGCTTCCCGTACTGCCAATGCCGATTTCGTTATACAAAAGTGCGCGCTGCTGTGCTCGCCCTGTCCGGCTCCGGTGACGCTCGTCGTCAGCTGGCACGGTGTTGAGCATTGTTTCCTTATGCTTGAGTCTTTTGCAGGGTTATACCAGAGTCCTTCAAAGGGACTGTAGTTATACATATATCATATGGTCTATGGTCACACGCATATAGTCGCGCGGGCACAGGATGACAGGGGTGGGGTGGGGGTAGTTGAGTCTTTTGCAGTTATACGTGCCAGCGTAGGCGCTAGCGGGTTGTACATGCTTAACACTCGCGGCGCGCAGGAATTCAACACTTAGAATTAAACGTTTAACAACACGTTTAACAATTAAAATTCTTAAACGTTTAAGAATTAAACGTTTAAGAACACACCGAGGCGCAGGTAGGACACACACGAGCGTGATCGTGCATGTGTGTCTTACCTGCGCCTCAGTGCGTTTTGTAGTGTTCAATTCTTGCGCGTCTCGAGTGTTAACCTTGCAGTTATACGCTTAGAGAGAGAAGACGAAGCCCGGGAGACGAACGAAATATTAGCATCCGGTTTCGTTTGGGGTGGGAAAATGGGGACTTCGGGGAAAGAAAGAGAGAGAGAGAGAGACAAAAAAAAGAGAATAACAAGCGCATGCGCACTTATAGGAAAATAAAAAAAAACATACTGGAAAGGTGTTTAGAGTACAACAGTTCAAAAATGCCGTTCTATCGCGAGAAGTGTGCTTAAAACGTATCCTAAAATCGCACGCATACAACATTGCAAACGCATAGGTGTGCGCACAGGATAGGGGGGTAACCGCCCCTCCCCCAATAATCATCAAAGTCGGGGGCGCCATATCTGTTCTATACGTCCACTCAGACGTACATTCGCGCTCAGTTTGAGTTGCAACACGCAGGCTTAGTTTGAAGTGGCCCCCTAGCTTCAACGATGACGCCAGGAAAGTTTAAATTAGTTCAGAAAGTATCGCTAACGGAAATGCGTCGTTTTCACGGAAGATAAAAGAACCGTGGTATACTTGATGTCTCTGATTTTGCTCGTATGTCGTCTATTTCGCGTGTGTGTGCGTGTACTAGCGTCTGCGTACGTGCATGTGTTCATTCATGTACATGAAATGTGTACCTAGTTTGTGTGTGCGGGGTTCCACGCTGTGAGCCGCTCCTCTACAAAGGTATGTTTTACCAGGTGAACCAACTCTTCCCACGTTTTATTTCAGTGGTTATTTTAGAACTTACCCACTTCAATGTGGTGTAGCTTTGTTCCAAATAATGGTAATTTATTATGGCTCGCGGAAAATATTTACGAAGAAGGAAAATTGAAGGTGCTGTCTGGAATTCTACGTACAAAACGGGAAAAAAAACGAAAAAGCATGAACAAGAGCTAACTGCAAATTCAACATTCCACGAAATTACTTTTTAGAGGGACTGCGCACAGTTTACGTTAGAACACCTGCGGCAAGATAAGTGAGAAAAATTTTTATAATACCTTTCCAACTTTTACAAACTTACTATTTCGGCAGTTTTGAACTGTTGCATGAAAACCGCAGTTTTTTTTTTTTCACAGCTTTTTATAGTCGCAAGCAATATGCCTCGTTGTATTGCATTTCGTGTCTTTGTTTGATATTATTCTTTTTTGGCATTTGAAATATGTAAACGGGGCGTACTATGAAATTTTCATCCTTTCTGAACGTTTGCAATAAACCGCATGAAAATCGCATCTTTCGCAACAAAGCTAAACCCCGTTGAAGTAGGTCTAAACGATTCACCCTGTCCTACGTCCCGTGTGACGTGACATTCGACGTGTCACTGACAGAGCTTCTGCTCTCCCGTATTACATGTATACCTTCCTTGCTGTCTCACTGCAGAAGGGCAACGACACGTACCAGTTTCTCTCCGGAGTCGCCGTCACTCCCGCCACCAGGTTCCTAGACGTCAATCATCCGGTAGGTCGACGAGCCCGCATTTCATTCGCTCTGCTCTGATTGATAGCCAATGACCCGCTTCTTTTGCCCTATGTGGGGGTCATAGGTAAGGTGTTAGTGGCCTTGCTTTGGTTAAAAAAAATAAAATTTGCAATTTTCTGAAAGAAAATTGATTTGTTTTTCAGAAAGTATTAGCAAGTATTTCAGAAAGCAGTTTTAGAAATATTTTTGGTCTGTTTTTTTCTTGATACGTTGACAGAAAACGCGCCTCTAGCCCCACGTAAATTCTGCGTCTTTCTGAATGACCACTTTCGAAGTTTGTGCACCTTCCTAATTGGGTTGTAAAAACAGCGCAAAAGTATAGCCAAGGAAGAAACAAGAGACGACACCGCGTCTCTTCTTTCGTCCTTGTCTATAATTTTCGCGCTGTTTTTACATCCCAAGTATGAACCACCAACTAGCCCAAGATTCGCTGGTATTGTGTACCTTCTTACCTTCTTTTCAGCAGCTATCGAGTGTAATAAGCAAGATGTCTTAGATATGTTAAGCAGAGGCTTTTACTTAACTGGAGCTATAGAATCAATAACATAGCTGCACCGGTGTGTTTTAGTAGCAAAAGCATCCATTCATCATTGGCAATTTTCATATATTCAAAAACGTAAAACGTACATAAGAAGTCTAGTGCTTGCCGTATATGCTCACAGTTTTAGTTGGCCTTCTTCGAAGCTCTAGTAGTTACCTTTCCGCTAAATGGCAGTGGCTGCGCATGTAGCAGGTGAAAAAAAAAAGAGTAACTTTGTGGAAAAAAGGAGAAATTACAAAAGTAAAAACATTAGACGTGGTTTCCAAATTACTTTTGAGCTTTAATGCTGTCGGTGTGTGTCCTTAAAATACTTGAGACACCTTGAAAATTTTGCAGCCTAAGCTGTAATTTCCACTAATGTTCAGCCTGATTCTTAGCCACTCTGAAAGTCTAATCGATGTTTAAGCAACGTGTATGGTAGGAAAACAGGCGTTTGGGATAGTTAGTAACAATTCATTCTAAATCCAAAGATTGGGGCGTTGTTCAAAGTAGGGCCAGAGGAGAAAGCGACAAAACAGGCGCAGATTTGTTCCTTTTGTACCTCTTCCGTACGGCACCCCTCTATTTGCGTTTAAGCAAGAACCGTGCATGTACGCGCACTGGAGCATTCAGAATAGTACTGAGCTTCGTTGTGTAGCGTTTTATTTCTGGAATGTTCGTTATGTTACGTCGCCGAGAAGGCAAAGCAAAATTAAACCCGCATGGGCATTTGCACGATCTGCACCTGTGAGAAGATAACTTATACAGGGTGTTTTTTTTTACACATTACACTTTATTCGTAAAAGAAGCTGTATTATTGAATATACTAGCATACTTGTAATCCGCCACCCGCACTGTCAATTATGCGAAAAGCAAATAGAATAACGTGCTCCTTTCAAGACATACAATTTTATTAGAAGCGTTGTAGTATATAATATAGCCTAAAGGTGTAAGCGAACGCATTGGGTGGGGGGAGGGGGTGTATGATGAAGGGAGAGGGTGTCCCTTAGTCCCTTAAAAGTGACATGGGACGGAATCTCTGTCACAATTTGACTTCGGCAGGGGGAGGGGGGGCAGGGAAACCGTCTTAAAGGAGTACTGGTATGATTTTGAAACAACTAAAAGGGGGTAATTTTTTGTTTATTCTAGGTGTAAAGTGTAAAACGCTCTCCACACACAAAAGTCAGGCACCTCGTAAAAATATTTTTTCATATTTTATTTTCAAGTTTTAGTCGATGGGCATCTATAAACCATCACCACTTTCAAGGGACATTATCCCCGATGAATCAACACATTTACAGTGAGCTTGCGTACTATGGGCCCCGCATGCCATGCAATTCTCCGAAACCACTGTGTAGGAGTCACTGGATGATAGTTCACTTATTGTTTCTTACGTGAACGACGAGCAGGTGGCTGATCGGCCGCACGTACGCTGCGAGTTGCTGTCTCTTCTTGACGTCACATTTCGATGACACGTCACTGAGAAACGAGCCCCTAAATATCAAAACTGAAATCGCTTTTCTTTGTGTTTTTTGAAGATAGTTGTATGGGAATGATATTCGATGCATTCTCAAGCACCAAAACAGTCGTTTTAAGGTTCTCGATTTCAGTGCTTTTTATTTGGAGCGACTATCTTAAAACATTTAAAATCTGTTTATAAAAACTCCATATGAAACTCCTTTAGGTATAATCGGCCATGTACACACCGTGGATTATGCGAGAAGATACGTCCCAGTAAAAGTCCTTGAAGTGGTAAACTTCCGATAGTGACTGCGCTATTCACTATACTAACCAAAATCTATAGTCATTAATACACAATGCCGATTATGCTTGAAAGCGTGCATATATAGAGCGCTCCTTCTAAGCGCTACACTTCATATAAAAACTGTTATTCACTATGTATTCGCCTAGACAGTCCTGTATATTGTCCCTTATGGGAGACGTATGAATAGAGCGCTTCTTTTTATGCGGTACACTGTATTTGAAAAAGAACTATTGCCTGAACCCTTCTAGTGACTAATGTGACTCTGGATGCAGTCAGGTCTGTAATATATGCAAATGATTCGGCGTATATTAAATTCCGAAGGAGTCGTCCACGAGCTTTGAAAAAAAAAAATAAACAGCAGAACTTAGACGGTGCATGGATTAGCTTATCGGAATAAATCAAGTTTATTCAGGAAGTGGAAACATCCTCGAAGGAACGATCGACATATATTCAGACGAGTTCTAAGTCTTCGACATTATTCTTAGCTGGTGTATACGGCTACGTGCCTTAGACACTGTGTAGGCTTCGCGGTTGTAAATTGTTTTCGCGTTTATATTGTTCTGCCTTGACGATGCAGTGATTAGAAGCTACTTAAAGTTTTCGTGTTCGCGTGTTCACCTTATATTTTTTTGCGATTGTGAGTTTTGTTTATTTAGGACACGCTCTCGAGTGAGCTTGTCCTGTAGCTTATTCCTTCGTTGAGTCCCGTGTTTTTTCTCTCCCTCTGTTTAGTCTTCATGTGTAGCATGGACGTTCCTCTTGTAAGATTGTGCGTTTTCGTGCCCGCCATCTCGCATAGAAAGAGGTTCTTGTATTTCAAAGGGAAGCACGATAGCCTCGAAGGAAACCGTCATTCGGGCACGTTCGCAGTGCACCTCTTTTGTGTCCCAGCCTTCCCTTTTTTCGTTTCTTTATGATAACGAAACTTTACCCGAGGGTATACAAGGCTGCTTTAGAATGAGAAGCGCTGAAAAAGGCCGGTCCTTATTACGCCTGTACTACGGGTCCTACCAGGAATACCCGGGTTGGAGGAAGCTGCGAGGGGTAATAAAAAAAAACGCGAAGTCGAAAATTGTAAGGACCGCGTTTCTGTAATCCGGCCACTTCGTGTGTACGTTCGGATTCGTGTTTTACTTTCCGGTGCTGCCCATGTCATTCGAGTGTGTTTATTTGTGGAAACGAATGCCCCAAATAAGAAACTGGATTTCGCGATGCGCAACTGCGCGAATGTGTGTTCATGTGAGATTTAATTGAAGTGTGAGATGACTTGCAAACGGTACAGAATAAAAGTAACCGATTGCAATTGCAATGACCTTTTTAAATACTTAACAAGATCACAGCAGTCAATCACAGAAATGTAACTTAAGAATTACATAAATTTAATTGATTACCTTTTGCGTTTCTTTAATTCCTTGAAATAATCATTACTGTAAACACAATCGTAGAAGTTTACTTAAGCTATAACGAGCTACTATGACTAGCATAGTAGAGTGAGATCTGGAGACTTGCTTAATGGTAGGGAAGCTGACTGTGGCTTCCGATATGTGGTGTTGCGCATTGTTAACTTTTACAAGGAGTTGCTTTCAAATTCCGTCGTCGCTGATTCTTCAACGTCTCCTAGTTGAGATGTAAGCTGCTGCTATGAATACACTCTCAAGGCATGGCCTGGAGAGTAGGGTGTTATTTTAAAGTAGTAACACTTTGCGCATGAGCTTGAAGTTGCGTAATGCTTCGATGCTAGGGCCCATGTCTTCTATGAAGCGCCACCCTTCGCTGTTGCCGGTGCTCGGGTAAGGAATCGCAGGTAACGCCAAGGAAATTGGGTAAAAAGAGGATTTGTAGGAGCCCTCCGTCTGACAGGACACGTACAGGTTCCTGAAGAGGAATCGCATACTTTTGGGACGAGAAGTGCCGTGAAAGAGTGGTCACAATTTTGTTTACTAAAAGCGATTGATTGCCAGTAATTGATTTATTTGTAGGGTTTAACGTCCCAAAACCACCATTTGATTATGAGAGACGCCGTAGTGGAGGGCTCCGGAAATTTTGACCACCTGGGGTTCTTTAACGTGCACCCAAATCTGAGTACACGGGCCTACAACATTTCCGCCTCCATCGGAAATGCAGCCGCCGCAGCCGGGAATCGAACCCGCGACCTGTGGGTCAGCAGCCGAGTACCTTAGCCACTAGACCACCGCGGCGGGGCTTGATTGCCAGTAATCGATTGCAAAAGTAATCTTACTACCCAAAACGTCACAGTACCGAAAGAGTAATATATTGTTTTACAAAGTTACAAAAATATCATTGATTATCAGTAATCGAGTACTTGCAACGCGCTACTTACTACTTTGGGTACGAGCCCGACTTCTAAAATTGAGAATGGGCACGATCTGTAGAAACAGCTCCGTGTTTAGCTTCACTGCGTTGCAACTCCAGTGCGTTGTTTGAATCACTGTGCCTTTTGTTGTTTTAAATGTTTTGTTTTTCGACGCGATGCATAAATGTGGGATGAAAAAAAACTAATTCAACGGCATATCGAATCACCGCTTGTTCTGTCAGCTGGCTCCATCCGATATGTGGTTCTGTTATCTTTGTTTATATATAGGAATAATAAATATGAAAATGTGACAGGAAGTGCGAATTCCGATGTAAAGCCCACGCTCCCATATGTACGCTCCAAAACGTACGCTCCAATACGCTCCCTCCAATACGCTCGCTCCATACGCTCGCTCCATACGCTCGCTCTAATACATTCGCTCCAATACACTCGCTCCGATACGCTGGCTCCAGTATGCTCGAACCAATACGCTCGCACTAAAATGTGCGCTCCGAAACTGTTGGCCATCCCTGTTTCGGAGAATGTGCTTATATCTTGTCTGCAACCAATGCAGCGGAATCTAAAGGCGCTGTACTTCGTACTAACGGAATTTATTATTGTATACTGAAATGAGACAGACCGCCAAAATATACTCCAATTCTTCTCGACTCTATGAGTAATAAACGTCGTGGCGCATCAGAGGTATCTGGTTGGAAAGGAGGGGCTTGTGTCTATATTTTCTACGCTGATTGAGTCAATTGCAACCCACCCTGCAACTCGTGCAGAACGTCTGCGAGGCTGTCATGGTCATCACGCATTACATGCACTACGCACTGGGCGTCTACGGCTGGCCCATGTACATGATGACGCGAGGGAGCACCGGCTGCTGCCACCTGTTTCCCAGCCTCAGGTAAGCTGGTCGCAGTGTGACGTCATCAGGTGTCACGTGGGTAATCGAGTAAAAATTCCTGGGTCATCCTCAGTCCTCGTTATCCTTGCCTGGGCATTGCATTTACATAGAATTTTTAACCCCTGAAAATTTGCACAATGTTTATTATAACGTCCTCTTAAGTTACTATTATGAGTCCTTGTGTTAGTATCGTGGGAAGCTTTCTTGATTGTATGTCTGTACTTTGTTTTTCACATCTGTTACCTGGGAACACTGTATTTCTTCTCAAGATGAAGTGGTAGTGAATTAGCGCTTACTTACGTAGTAGCAAGACAGTCTCCATTGCTGTGAGAAAAGGCTGAGTTTGTGCAAGTATTCGCAAATACAACTTGGAGTGACGGCATTGGGCGGTTTTCGCACTAATTCGCCGTCCCGTTCTTCATCTAATCAAGATACACTAAAGCGTAAGGTCTTTCAAGTGATGCCTACATACGCGGAAAAGCACGTACTTTTATTTTTCTATTCAACAATAAAATATGTTTTCGGGTTAGTTGGTACACGTTGGAAGATGCACTATGGCCCTGAATGTTCCTGCAACCTCTATTTTACTGCCTGTTTTATTCGAAAAAACATCAGCCCGCCTGTCGAAACCCTCCAGCGGTTCTGACACATTTCACGCTTGTTTAGAGAACTTTCAACCATTCAGTCATTGTAATCTGTTTCTTTTCACACCGTATCCATCGCCCCGTGAATGGAATAAATAGTTATTACAATGTGGTTGCCTCCGATATTTTGGTAAGCTTGAAGACACTTTACACTCTGTTTACGCAACACGTACCTCTCTGGGGCACCTTGTTTTACGGACGTATTGGGTCACCTACCGAAACTCCAGCTGCCTCACCTATGGCACTTTATCTGTCAACTTTCTATACCCCTTCCCTAAGTGTAGGGCAGTCAACCAGTCATGTTTCTGGTTAATCTCCCTGCCCTCTGTTTTGTTTTCCAACTTACCAGAATTTTCGAACGTTTATGTAACATTTGTACAAACAAAAAACTATGGATTACCTCCCCATAGGGAACCATGATGGAAAGCGAAGCAGCACCGGTGCTCGCGGCGTTGACCCAGCTCAAACGGGCGTCGACGCGAATGCTGTAAAAACGGTTTCAAGCGAAACTCGGTGTAGTCTTTACTCGAGTAAACGTTTCTTTGAAACGCGAAGACCCGGGCGGCGGGTTGGCTTTGGTGCATGTTTCATCGCAGATAAACGAGCCGGAAGAGTGTTTCCAGTGTTTCCACGCGACGTGAGGTAAAGTGTTGTGGGCGGTGGAGAGGGTGAAGAGATAGAGAAGTGTGTTGCGAGTGGGCAGACGAGCAACAATGAGCTAGGTGTGTTGGGAGGAGCCGGCAGCTGCTGCGGGTGAGGGAGAGAGTGACGTGAACGCGTTGTTGCGGCTTTACCTACTTGACATCGTTCCAAGAACTGCGGCGGGGCGAACGCGGCGCGGCGCGTTGGCACGGGGACGGCGCATTGGCACGGAGACACGGACGGACAGCGTTACACAGGCTAATCAAAGAGCTGCTTTGCATCTAAAAGAAGGGTCCCATACACCAACCAAAATCAGTTACAATTTTTAACGACATTATAGTTATCCGTATTCTTTACTTTCATCTCGACTAGACCAGCCTACATGCGCCTCTCGGCTTCAAGCTTTATCGAATAATTTTTTTCGGTAAGTCTACTGCTGATTTCCCGTCTTGTTGTCTCTACACTGCAGGTGCTGCTGCTTCCCGACGCGCAAGAAAAAACGGGACCGGGCGCTCGTCGTGGAGGACAACTGCTGCTACTGCAACTACGCGGCGCTCAGGCATATGGTCAACAACCACAACATGGAGGTCGTCTACGTCACGTACCACGTGGACGTGAGTGCAGCACCCGTCGATTCTTCATCATTCTTTGTGTCTTGGTTATGATGAGTTGATGAGCCACAGCGCTTACAATGGAGGGACTCAGTTGCATCGTGTAAGCATGGCTGACTGGGTGTCTTGGTTTAACATGTGTTGAAGTGTAGGGTGCCACGAAGACAACGGACAAAGAGAGATCGGTACACACGGAAGCCTACTTCGAAGAATGTTTTTTTAGAAAAAAGAGAATGTACAAATTCCTATCCACCGATTTTTTTTCGTTTTCTCCTTCGTGCAGTTATTTATATTATTGCTTGCTGAAAACAAGTATTAATGATTTATAGTGTCACATTATAGTCCCTATTATTGCCGGCATAATTTTTTTTGTTCGTCATTTCTATGTGTGTCCTAACCTGTCTGCTGAAACGGTGCTAGCTGTCATCGATGTAGTAACCTTTTTGCTGCGGATGCATCTGGCGCTTATGTTATGGCATGACTAAATAATTACGAAAAGATTAATTATTGACTACTCAGTTAACTAATTAATTATTGAACCAACTTCTTATACAAATAAATAAAGAAATAAATAAATAGACACAGGACGTCCCACAGTAAAAAAAAGATAGAAGACGCTTGAGCTTCGTCTTGAAGAGTGGATCGCGATAGCATAGGGTGGATCGCGATAGCATAGGAGGGCCTTTTGCGCATCGCTTTCAGAACCGCGAGCCTGCTTCGGTTTTCGGTGCACACCTGAACCGTGCCGCAAGTGAACGAATGACTGCGCGCGCAGCATTGGCCGTTTTCAAAGTATCAGTGAATGCCTACTTCAAGTGCAGTTATCAGGTGCCCACTACGCAATAATTATTCATTTTGCGCATAAGCGAAGGGTCCACTCGTCGTCTGTTTTGCAATGCATGAGTTTACGCAGCTATTCACTTTGTTAATGCTTCTACTGCTGGCGATTATTCAGTATGTCAGAGGTTTTGTAATAGGTGGGCTCTTAAAACACCTCCTCGTTGCTCAAATCACGTCTTTTGACGCCTCCTGCGATTGTAAGCTTCTGCTATGCAACATCTGATGCGATAAGGAGACCCTCTCTGTTACATAACACTCATATAGTGCTTTTTTTAAAGCAGTATCGAGAAATGGTATGGCTGAGTGGTAGAACATCTGCTTGCCACGCATACGGCGTGGTTTAGATACTCACTCCGATCCTGAAATTTTTATAATATATTTCGATTTTGTGGTCACGGACAATATGATGATTTTTCGCTGACAACGAACGACGCCTACGTCAACGCTGACACCGACGGCAGAATTCCCGCGAAACGAGCTCTTTAACGCTAATATTTGGATGAGAGCTTCAGTGCTATACTTATCGGCGCTAAAGAGCAAAAGCAGTTTCGTTATATTTCAAAATTTCGCAAATAGTTTACATTCGCTCACTTCACGTTGCTGAAAGCCACGCGCTTCCTCTCATAGTCGCTACCGATGCTAGCGAGTACCGCGCGCCGATTGCCAAAGGACATTATCGATTTTGGTGTTATTACAGACCATAACGCCAACGCTGACGGCGAAGTTCCGCTTGCAGCCCCGCCCCGATTTCCGCTTGACCAGCCATAATTGCTGTCGAAACAGACATGCTTATTTCCGATTTGCTTTGTTTTCTGTATTACGAAGCATCACGCTGACGCCAGCGGAGAAATTCTGCTCGCAGCGATCCCATAATCGCTACCAGAATAAAGGAACGATTAAAAAAATGTGCATTATGTTAGCGCCATTACTCGGCAGTGATGGATTGAATTTAAAATTGTTTTTTTTTGTTCACGAGTCCTCTAGATGATAGTTTGGTGAGCTGTTTGTCTAAAACGCTGCTCCACATTGCTAATAGGCTGGCCCTCTTTAGTACGGCTAATTCTTCTACGTTTTGTTGTCTTCGTGACAGGTCGGTGAGACGCCATTCTTCGTGGCCGTAGACCACGAGAAGAGAACGGTCGTGGTCTCGGTACGAGGAACGTTATCGCTTCAGGTAAGGCTTGGACGTGTACGATACAAAGCATCGCCTTTAGGAGTTGAACGTGATAGCGACATCTTGTCCCTAGTGCGTGCTTCAGTCACCTATTGCGTACTTTTGAAGGTGATAGTCTTTCTTGGTGTACTTTGAGGCAAAAATTTAAGTCTGTCTGTCTGTCTGTCGGTCGGTCGGTCGGTCTATCTGTACATTTGTCTGTTTGTCCGCCGTAACGATATTCTAAACGGCCCCGAAGGTTGCTGCAAATGGCCAATCCTATGCGCTGCACTCACCAATATTGCTCGAAATTCAGCGTTCATACTTGTGCGATTGTCAATTAGGAAGCAAACATTGCGCATATATGATGCACCACAGCAACACGTCTTTATTCTGTATGCGTGTCTCTATACTAAAGAAGGCATACATAAGTAATTCTAAGGATCGTAGCGTTTATCACGCTGCGCTGACAGTGCAACGCGATGCTCAAAAAAGGCAAGTGTTTCCAACGCTTCGCTAAGACGACACGGTGGTGGCACCTGCCGGTCGCTTTTCGTTCTACACTTTATCGCCTGCGAGACGGGCGCGCACGCCTTCCTTCATTTTCGAAGATAACTGACAGGTAGCGCTCGTGTCTAACGTGCCCCGATGTGCTCGTTCGCCTTCGCTGCACGGATCGAGACTCGACGCAGCACCTCCAGAATACAATTCAGCAATTTTCTCGCGCAGAACTTCAAATAAACATTTTGTTCACTCTCTCCAGACACAAGACTATCGTCTTTCGACGACATTTGCAGTGAAACATGCAGATACGGGGCCAATTTTTTTGTGTAGTGTTACTCGAGAAGTGTAAACTGTGGATTACTACAATGTATTCAATAAAGTTGAAAGTGGCTTGTGTCAGTAAAGCTTTGGCATATGACTGCATTCTGTGTAATTGGTTTCATGCATTAAACCACGAGCAATAACGTACGGGAAATGTTTTCGGAAGTGCAACATTTCGGTCACGGACGAGATGATGATTGTTGACTCAACCAATGGCGCCGAAACCGGAATTTCCGCGAAGTGAGCTCCTTAACGTTATCACGTTAGCCTGCCACCGGCAATGATGTTTAAGCGATTCGGCTTTCTTCTTGTGCCCAAATACCGAAAGAGGTGCTGATGTAGTATGTTACAAAGTTTTGGCGAAAATTATATATGTATATTTGTGTGTGTGTGTGTGTGTGTGTGTGTGTAGTCAAGCCGCTGCTATCATTCTGTTATAATTACGGTAATTTTGTCTGTATACCAATGCGTGTTATTTTCATGACACAGTCGCCAGAAAAAAATTCTTTTCAAAAATGTCCTTGCGTGAACGCGAGATGTGATTTGCCTTCATTGTTTCACATATCGTGGACCAGCCAGTCATTTTCGGTTTCATAAAGGTCCGCGATTGCTTAAGCAAAGAATAACCTCGAGATTACACGCTCTCTTTTTTTAGCATTTCCATCTTTGAATCTCGAATCAATCATGACGCTTTCGTTCCTAAATTTACGATGAAGAAGGCGAACGTGCACAGCTTTTCCTCTTTTCTCGATTATTTCGTCTATGCGTATATTATGACTATAGTGATCAGGTACAAATATATAAAGAAAGCTGTAGCTAGAGACGAAAGGATAGTGACTAGCTGTTCGTACAAAGGGGGGCCTGACGCTTGTAATAACACTCGTCGCTTGGCTAGCTGGTGCATTGCGTCAAGAAAATATATCCAGCCTAAAACTGAACGTACTCAAGAAACGGAGAAGAAGGCAGGAAAGTGACTAGAACACTTGCGCGGCAGATTGCCGCGGCGATGTGACTGATGAGTACGTGTACCTGAGCACCACGAAGACGGAAACATGGAAAATGTCCCACTGTATAAGAAAATGGCGCACATGTATAGCCTCTTTCCCGTCTTCTGCTTCGTTTTCTGTGTACGCTCATTTTTTGACTGGATATATTTTCTCGATGCACAACGCTTGCTGTGCGTCAGGAAGAGGTAAATAGGATAGAAACGAAAGGTGCTTGATTGAAGAATATATATATATATATATATATATATATATATATATATATATATATATATATATATATATATATATGAGATAACAAAACATAAAAGTTGGCCAGTCGTAGCCTTCACCTCCCTAGAAACATTTCAAAATGGTGAAATACCAGTGCTGTCACTCCCTATAAGAAGGCCTTGATCGATAGTGCTCACTACAGCTCATCGAGGCAAATGTTTTTTTTTTCCTTTTTGAGAAAGCTTTCTTTTGCGTGCGCGCTTTCAAGTGCAATCTTTCTATACGGCCTGAAATTGCCGTGGCCACAGAAATTGCGTAACTGCATTACGCAACGGTACCTGTGCACTGCGGGGCTGAGTGTCGCATGACACATGGGCAAATGTTTAGATGCATCAACCGACGAAGGCTGAAAACGTCTGCACGACCCATTTATGTGCGATTGTATATCTTCGTGCGTACCAACTTCAGACCGTGTGGCGTGTAAAGAATCGCTGAAGAGAGCACGCTAATAACGCAAAAGAAAACAGATTGATGTGCAGAGTGTAACGTCCGAAAACCACCATATAATTATGAGAGACGCCGTAGTGGAGGGCTCCGGAAATTTCGACCACCTGGGGTTCCTTAACGTGCACCCAAATCTGAGCACACGGGCCTTCTGCAGTAAAACAAAACAGCGCGTGATAGTTGGCTTTCATTAGAGTGTGGTTTACGTCACTGCAATCGAATTTTGGCGTGGCATATATTGTTGTTAGCAAAGGGCCCGAGACACTGAAGTGCGCAAAAAAAAAAAAAACGGCCCCGCGTCCGCATGTTACACTGCAAACGTCGTCGAAAGACGGTAGTCTTGCGTCTGGAGAGAGTGAACAGAATGTTTATTTGATGTTATGCGCAAGAAAATAGATGAATGGTATTCTGGAGACGCTGCGTTAGAGTGCCTCGAGCGTGCAGCGGGAGCGAACGAGCGCATCAAGTCACGTCACACGTGAGACATGAGCGCCATTTGGTAGCTTTCTTGGAAAACGAAGCGCGTGGCTCTGAGATGGGTGTGCGCGCCCGTCTTAAGGCTGGTGCACACCGGCGACTAGCAGCGGTCGCGCGACCATTTGCGAACGATCGCAACCAGTCGCGAACGATCGCAACCAGTCGCGAACGATCGCAACCAGTCGCGAACGATCGCAACCAGTCGCGAACGATCGCAAACGGTCGCAAAGCGACTGCGTTGGCCAGTCGCTTCTTGATCGATTTTTCAGTCGCGCGACTGCAGTCGCGAAGCTGCTTAACCAATCAGCGATGCTCAATTTTTTTTTTCATTGCGCTGGTTTCCTGCCGCCAGATACAAACGAGTGCGTTCCTCTGGGTCTGTGGCACCATGGCCACCACGGAATACTTGGCTTGGAGATGGCGGGCCGCAGCAACTCTAGCAAAGTGTCGAATTTACGTGGTGGCATTCGCAAGAAGCTAAACACCGTCAAAGTAAAGAGAAAATAAATTGTGCACTGTCTTTTCCCCGTATTCGGAAACTTTTTTTTGTCTTGAACTTGGCTTGTCAGCACATTCAACGCAGCGTGTTTGGAACGCGTTTGTACTTCATGCCTTGGCAACGACTTAAGACTCCACGTTCGAGACGCATTTGTGCTGCATTGTAGGCTGTGGCAAGTCAAGGGAAATTCAAGGATGGTTTCTGAATACGTACGACTCTCGGAAATACTCCTCGTTGTGTCAGCGCAGCTCTGAAGGCAGGCGGCTTGCATGGCCGGTCAACTCCCGCGATCGAAAGGATGGTCACATACTCTACCGGCTTTTTTTTTCTTTGGAGGCATCTGTGATGCCAGCGCTGACACCATGGCACAGTGCATCAGCACCATGAAATTGTCTTGTTCTTCGCTTGAATCGAACTTGACGCTGTTGGGAACGCTGTGCGAGAACGGACTCAGCTGGCGGCGATCAGCTGATCGCGCCGGTCTCAGGAGTTCTCGCTCATAACGAGATCCGGACGTGACTCTCCGGTTTTGTGACTTCCGGTCGCTCGCATGCAGCCTCTGTCGGTGTGAACATCAGTCGCTTTTTGGTCGCCAGTCACGAATGGTCGCGCGACCGCTGCTAGTCGCCGGTGTGCACCAGCCTTAAGAGGTGATAACGTGTAGAACGCAAATCGACGGGTAGGTGCCACCACCGTGTCATCTTAGCAAAGCGTTGGAAACACTTGCCTTTTCGTGCAGGCGTTGCATGGTCAACGCAGCGTGATAAACGCTATGGTCCTTAGGATTACTTATGTATGCCTTTTCTAGTAAAACATACACATACAGAATATTGACGTGTTGTTATGGTGCCACAGATATGGGAAACAATTGCTTTTTAATTGCAATCGCACAAGTATGAACACTAAATCTTGAGCAATATTGGTGGGTGCTGCGGATGGGTTCGGCTGTTTGGAGTATCGTTTGGCCACTTTGATGCCGTTTAGAATACTGTTAGAGCGCACAAACAGACAAATGAGCAGACAGACAGATCAAAATTTTTGCATCGAAGGTCCCAACAAATACTCCAGAAGTATATTTGAATTGTGGGGGCGACATTCGTCGGCAAGTATATATATATATATATATATATATATATATATATATATATATATATATATATATATATATATATATATATATATATATATATATATATATATATATATATATATATATATATATATAGGCAGGCATGGTGGTTGAGTGGCCGTAGCGTTGCATATAGTCCAGTAGATCCTCCGTGAGCGGTCACAACGTGGTTTATTTCGACGTTTCGGCCTAGAGTCTGGCCTTCATCAAGATTAAAGATACAGTTTGTTGGAAGCTGAGCACCAACAAACTGTATCTTTAATCCCGATGAAGGCCAGACTCTAGGCCGAAACGTCGAAATAAACCACGTTGTGACCGCTCACGGAGGATCTACTGGAATATATATATATATATATATATATATATATATATATATATATATATATAGTCGCTGATACATACCTCTATTTTTGCCAAGGTGACAAAGAAAGGGGGAGGTGGGGAAGGGTCGCAGGAGCTGTTAGTGGGGGACCATGCCCCCACTCGTTGTGAGAACGCCATCAGTACACCCACTGGATGATGGGCTATCCTGCCCATAGAGTTTCCTAAACTTAACTGGAGGAGCCTCGGGCGCTTCGATCGTTCAGCGACCTAGGGAAAGATGGGTATATAGTACTCTAGTTTGCCCATTATTCGCAGTTGTGGTCTTCGAACGCATTTTATTTGTTGATGTGTCTTGATTTTCTTTTCTAATAAAAGAACGAACCGTTGTGAGCTTCGTGAGTGAATGTAAATTGGTGAGCCTAATAAGGTGAGGGTGGTGAAGTGTAAACTGTTAAACCTGTACTGAACTTCTTCGTGGGGAAAGGGGATTCAGGCCACACGCAGCCGAACAGAGCCGAAAGAACGAATATAGACAAATTTGTGCGCCCCCTACCATTCCGGCGCTGGCGTTTCAGCTTCCATAGACACTAGCGCCAGAGTTCCCTGTAGCGTATTTGTTGGAAACTCTTAATCTTTCCTATATACGAGAGTGATGCGCTGTTATGCCACAAGCATGGTCCTCGTTCGGCAGCACTTGTTCCCACGAGAACCAGCGCAGTTCTGGCGAACTCTCCCTTCCTTCCAGCGCCACCTTCCACGCAGACGGCGGCGAGCCACCGAGCAGTTCCGGGCAAAGCGTCGCCTCCTCCGCCGAGCCACCGTGCCCGTTCCGGGGAACTGGTCTCGCAGAAAAGACCAAAACGTTATTTAAGGCCGTGCCGGCCCCATGTTTAGAGGATTTTTTCCCCAGCCGCCGTTGTCGTGCTGGCCGGCTCTGTACCAACGACAACCTGCTACAGTAAACGCTCCTTCTTGTTGCTGTTTTCAAAAGGGATTGCCTCCCTGCTTCGCCTCCGGGCTAATGCTTCAGCGAAGTCCGCTCTACTGCTCGCCGCTCTTCGCCACCGCTACCATCGCGAACCCGAATTCATAACAGCGCGCAGGGGAGATGATGACGACCGGCAGTATATACCGGCGTATGGTGGCCAACAAACCTTCGTACTAGTTAGCGTTCCTTCCTCCTCCCGTGTCATGCTTTTGTGTCCGCGTCGCTTGCGCTGCAAATTATTCCCGCATCTCCCGTTCTTCGAGCGCTAAGAAATTGCCGGGTGGTAAATGGTGATAAGGTACAGATGTCCATCCTGGACCAGCGTCTGTTATGTCGGATGTTTGTATGGGCATGAGCAAACAGATGCCCGTTCCAGATTCAACAGGCGCCCAGCGCCTCTTCCTAAGCGAAGTATAGCGTACTTGGTTGTTGTCTCATCTTCACAAACAGGATGTGCTGACGGATCTGAATGCAGAAGGCGAGCCACTTCCGGTCAATCCACCACACGAGGACTGGCTGGGTCACAAGGTGCGCATAACCTTTCACGCTTTTTTTACGTACTTTACATTCTAATAGTTTGATATTGAATATATGCTTGATTTAGCATCACCCGCCGACGTTGCAGGAATGCCTGTAGGGATCGGTTGCCGAATTGATAGTTGCGGGTTCGATTCCGGCCGCTGTGGTCGATTTTTGATTGAGACGGCTGAGGCCCGTGTCACGAAACAACGGATGGTTGAAATTTACGGAGCCCTTCACTACGGCGTCTCTCAGAAGCGTATCGCAGCTTCGGGGCGTAAAATCCCAGATATTATTATTATTATTATTATTAATATTATTATTATTATTATTATTATTATTATTATTATTATTATTATTATTATTATTATTATTATTATTATTATTTGTCCAGTGTGCTAGTATGTCCATAGTAATGCTTCATTATTTGTGTCACATTTCTTTTTGTATGTAGGCACAGCATCTGCGTTGTTCACTCGCTCTGTATTCACATATACTTTCCTTTGTCCGTCTTGTTTTTCACTCTTAACTTGGTGATGTGGGGCTCGTCGCTATGCCGAAACCTGTTTTTGCCCCGTCCGAACCTCTCCATGCATACTGATACGTCGTCAATCTACCAACTAAAACTCAGTCTGACTCAGTGACGTACGAGTTCTCGAGAAACTATAACTGAATGCTTTATTCGTTCGATAACAAAAAAAGTGTTACTTCCTCAGGTTAGCTGTATACATAAATCTGGCTAGTTATCTTTACCAGCACGAAATAAAGCACGTTAGTTTAGTTCGTCCCTACTATATTGTCTGAGATTATTACAAGAAAAAAGTTATTTTTAAGGCACCTATTTTACAGGTGGCTTCCAGTTCAACGGAGATGCTTTTACCTGAAAAGCTGTTTTGACGAAAAGACGCTCCAAAAAATTTCAAGGTTTTCCGCAGCATTAGTGGCTGAAAAGCCGATTCATCGTTAGCTACTTTTGCTTTTGCCTCTGAGGGATTTTACCCATGCAGTGCAATCGCTAAAGTCATTTTCTCCGAGTGAAATGAAGCACGAAACGAGACTTCACTACCAGCCCTGGCTCAGCAAAGTAAATATTGCGCAGCTCTCGACTAGTATGACGCAGTTAAGTCTTATGAAAAAAAAAAAAAGGAAAAGACAGCGTGATCCTCCAATTTCCTCCCTGTGCTACTGCTCAGTAATATAACTGTAGATGCTGTAAGCGCTAAAGACAACCAGAAGTGAATTTTTTAGAAAGAAGAACAAATGTTTTGCTACATGAAAAGAGTATTTTTTCTGGTGCGCTAAGTTGACGAAAAAAATGCGGTGTTCCTATAACAGCTTGCGTTACTTTTATTCATTTGCCGCGTCATCTATATTGTGCATTGCGTATCTTTAAAGTGGGTGGAGAGGTGAAGATTGAAATAAATATAACTGCTAATGTTAACGCACATGTAACCGAAATATGTTAACTTTCTCGAAAGGTAAAATGGTGTGTTACAATTTGTTACAAAACGGAGGAGCTTCCGGTAACGCCTTCCCGTGTAATACCCCTGTCACACGGCCACCACCATACTCCGTTGAACACCGTCAACGTAAATCTCCCCAAGGTGGTTTGACGGAGAAGGAGTTGTGGCAGTGTCACACGGCTATGAAAATGTTGTAACAGTTGGCGCGAGGGGGCTCAGCTGGCGCTGTTTGATTTTCGGAAAAGTATTCTAATTTCATCTCTATTGATTTTTTTGTGAATCCTCGTTATGGCGTTTTTACAAAAAAAAAAACACTGTTAAGGAGGTGAGAGGCTAACAAACCATAAAAATCTTTTCAGATAAAAACGAATTTGCTAATTGTAGCGATGCTGCTAGTGACGCTGGCCACATTGTGCTTTTAGTTGTTTTGTTGCCTGCGTTCATGCCCGTGTGCGAAAGCTGTTGTGCTTCCTTGCCTCGTGAGCGCACATTTTGTGTTCTTCAGCCATGAGTGACACAGCGACGACCACACCCACACGCATGGACGAAATATTTTTCAATGGCGCCGGCCGGCCCGACTCGCGAGGCACCACGTGCGAGGCACGGAGTGTAGAGCATCGGTGTTGAGAGTAAGTGAACTCTGGCGGGCGTAAATATATGTAAACAAACACGCGTTGTGAATGAGTACTACAACGAAAGAACGTTTAAGATTGCCGAAATGTATTATTCTTTCACTGCGGCCACTTAGTGCTCGAAATTTTTCTCTGACCTCTAGACTGCTGGGGACGAGAGTACCTCGTTTCGCTGCGAAGGGAGATCGTTGAACGTCCTTTGCGAAACGCTCCGTTTACCTTCGTTTGCGTAAGGGTGGCCGTGTGACACGGACCGCATCTTCGTTGTCGTAAGGACGAGGGAGTTAAACGGTCTTCGCGGGTGCCCGTGTGACAGGGGTATAATGCATAACCACTCACACTGCCAATGTCACGTTTCAAGTGGTCATGTTACGTTTGCGAAAAGAAACGCTCCGAAAAAAAAGTAGCTGTGATAAAAAAAAATGTCAGCCTTTTTATTTACCGTCAATTAGAGAAGAGGCTTCACGGTAAAGCGATAACTTTATCTCAAACTCTGGCCATTCCAAGGGCCCACGTGAGGGTGGTGAGACGACATTTTCAGCGCGAAAGCGGGAAAGAATGGAATACTGAGAAAAGAAAAGAAATAGAGCACACAGGTTGAGATCAACTGACTTTATTTTGGAAAATACCCAGGAAAACAGACCCCTGCGCATGCTCGCCGCCGCTTCGTCGCTAATCGAGCATCAAGTCAAAGAAGCTATACTCGTGATTGAAGAAACATACCGAAGTGTCGCTAATACAGTCTGTGCCTTTTCTCTCGCTACGAGAAGCTTCCAGTTACTTTTTACCCTGGGTATTAGCGCCTCTGTCTAATTGATTGATATGTGGGGTTTAACGTCCCAAAACCACCATATGATTATGAGAGACGTCGTAGTGGAGGGCTCTGGAAATTTCGACCACATGGGGTTCTTTAACTTACATCCACATCTGAGCACACGGGCCTACAACAATTCCGCCTCCATTGCAAATGCAGCCGCTGCAGCCGGGATTTGATCTCGTGACCTGCGGGTCAGCAGCCGAGCACCTTAGCCACTAGACCACCACGGCATAGCCAGTGCCTCTATCTAATCTCACGCAGCCACCGGACCGCGGTCAACTATACATGGTCTTTTTTTTTCCGAAATAAAGTCTGATGATCTTTAGTTCTCACCCTGTACACTGTGTTTTTTTCTTGTCTTCTGAGTATTCTTTTTTTCGCACCTTTGTGCCAGAAATGTTGTCTGTAGTACAACACCAATCCGCCCGACAGGAAGGTTCTTTTAGGGTGGTCTTGTTTGCCAGGTGACGTCGAGTTTACTTCCGTCCATTGTGAACCAAATAAAGTTGTTATAAAGGGGTCAATTTTATGTCTCTTACTAGACACGAAATTGCACCCGTTCTCCTTTGTATATCATTGCGCCTCTTCACTGGTTTCACTGCGTCAGGAATGATCCCACCTTCGACGAAGTGGTGATGTCATGTAATGAGGTCACCATATAAAGTTACGCCACGATGATGACATGATGACGCCGCAGATTAGTCGTCACGTGATTGCGACGTCACATGCTATTTTGGGATGCTTCTTGTGCCGCTCACATTGTAGCCTCGGACTCGCCAGGTCTCGTACTACGCGTCGCCACGTCTCTACAGATCTTTTTCTTGACTCATATCAGTGAAACTATGCCAATAGAAACGTAGTGGACATTGTTTGTGGTTTCCTGACGTCATTGCAGTGATTCTCGTGTAAACTGAAATGAATTGACGTAGACGAACAGCTACCCCTTCCGTCCTAGGCAGTGAGTGTTCCGCACCGGCCGCCTGGGCCTGGAATGGCGCTAGCTAACAATCTCAGGTATTAAGGACACATAAATACACTTCAGAAAAGTTGACGATAAAGTGCCCCCTGTTGTAGCCCAAATGGCAGATCACCGGACAAAAGTGGTAGATCATTGTACAAAAGAGCAATCCGCACTTCGTGTAAAGCACAAGTAGCATGAAATCTGGTCAAACGCTCAGGCTAGTCCAGGCGAAAATATTGGAGAGAAATACAGAGATTACAAAGAAAGGTGTCGCCAGCGGAGGACAAACAGTAAAAAAAAGACAGGCAAAAACTGCGACGAATGATCAACGGAACGCATGTTAACGCCGAAGCAATGTAAAGGAATGTGTCTATTATCTGTTATCTTTATCACACGCTATCTGCAAAGTAACAGACGGCACAGATAAGTGATCTCATACACGTGACCCGCCTACCCTTCGCTAGCGGCCCGCGCAAGACACTCTTTCGTCCCATATATTTTTTTTAGCGTTCGCTACACTGGCCGTGGTGGAGCACTTTCGCGTGACTTAGCTTTATCAGTTCTGCGCACGCGCGAGGACTAATGACGTCACACGGCGCACAGCTGGCGCGCCGGACAAAGCCTGGAAGATCCTGCAAGTGACGTGTCACTAGTGGAATGGCGCTTGACTCGCGTAAGATCGCTCACTCGCTAGTCCGTCCTCCCGTCCGTCCATCCATCTTCCAATCCGTCCGTCCGTGTTTCGCCCGTCCGTAGTTCACGCTATGTATAACCTGGAATATCGAAGCCACTGCTAATTTTTATGGCCTGGCCAGTGTTTGTGACATTGCTAAATTGTGCTTTCACTGTTTGCGCGCCGATCGAGACTAAGAACGCTTTGCTCGGTTAAGCCGCACACACGTTACTGATCCTAAACTTTATTTTCTTTCGCAAAACACCCCATGTGATCATTCTCTGTTAAAACTGAACCGCGGAGCACGAGCTCAATAATACATGATCGGCGTCCAGATTTTAGTTATTGTGGAGACCGATAGCGAAATGTTTCTGGAATCCTGACACCAAATCTCTTTCAGAAATGAGCCATGGGCTAGATATACTCAAGCCGGACCCATATATTGACGTAGGGAGGAAGGTGAGACGGGTGTGTGAAGTCGGCCCCATATATTGACATGATAAGAAGGGGAGGGGTTGTCACAGGTCCCGTTAATTCGGTAGGCGATCGCCGGGCTAATTCCAAGGGCTGAAGTATTGGCCCCCCGAACCGCACCACGAAAGCGTGGACAATTTAGAAGTGGTCCTATTTGGCGCGCCAGCGGACGCCGGCTGTGGCCCAAAGAACAAGTCAGAGCCGAGAGTTGATAAACAAAACAAAATTATATTCTCAGTTATGGCAGATCAAAACGATACACAAGTATGCACACTCGACAATAGTTGAATACAATATGACACCAATCAAACAATGTACTACACAATACAATCAGCCACACTCGAAACAACGGGCACAGACAACAATACGCACTACATGCAGTCGCATGCATCGAACAACCAAGACACTTAAAGACTAAAGAGTTAGAAAACTTATTCAGTCCAAAGTTCTTGGAACAAAAGTCTGAATGATACTCTTCTGAGAATCACTCACTCAAAGTCCGGCGTTGTTGTCGTTCCGCTGCCCCCGAAGTTTCTCTTCCAGGAAACCTCGCGTCTTCAATTGGCGGCTCTCCAGGCTCCAAACTTCTTCGCCGGAAACACATCGGCTTCACACACGCAGCTGTTGCCACGCGTCTTCGCTCGATAGCGGTAGACACACACTCTTGCCTGCAGCTCGAGTCTTCACCCCTCAGGTGGAAATCCTCTTCTTCTCCACTTCCTTCTTCTCCTCCTTTGTCACGGAAAACAAAAGGCTTCGCCCACAAAGCGGAACACCCTACGCACTCTGGCGCATACTTTCTTCTTCTCCTGCTTTGTCACTACGGACAAAACCTTCGCCGACTACACGGCGGAATACCCTACGCGCTCTGGCGCTAACTTCCGTCTTCTCCTCATCTCCCATCTCGGCTGCTCGATTAAATACCTTCCGCGCGAGATTCCAGAAAGTTCTCATCATTTCGTCAGCGCGATACGCAGCGAAGGCTGGGGAAAGGGTGAGACGGTACGAGGGCCGTCCGCGACGGATGACGCAACCCTGCATCACCATGCCCCTTTCCATCGAGAACGTTCCAGGGCTTGCTCGGACGCCGATGAGAGGAGGTTCGTCGGCGAACCCACGCTTCCGAGGGGAGAGGGACGCGCGCCTGGGGAGTCTTTAAATTCTTGTTTTCTTTTTTTATCGTTGACCTCGAGGCATCCTTCCGGCGTTTCATCGCGAGAATTTGGCGACGCGCCCTTTTTGAGCGCTCGTTTTGTGACACGGGTGCTGTGACAAACATTCGTCCCCCACCCTGAAGGGAACCCTGCGCTCGCTCGTGATTCCCGCCCTATGCGGGACAAAAATTTGAGACTGCTGCCCATTATCTGATGTGAGCTTGAGACCTCTGGCATGCATAATGTTGCGCAGACGTTTGGCTTAGCGAGAACTGAAGGAGCAAACTAAAGAAATTACGCTAAAAAGCTACAAATATTTCATTGTACCTGCTCATTCGGCCCCTATTCTCCAGCAGCCCACTCGTAATCGCCGAATCGCCTCACCAATAAATTTTTATCGATGTCAGCTAAAATGGTGGCGACACTGTTATTCCTACATGTTTCCACTGTATCATTGCAGGGTATGGTTCAGGCCGCGGAGTACATTAAACGGAAGCTGGTGGACGAAGGGATCCTATCGCAAGCCTTCAACTACAGCCTGGTAAGTGCATGAACCATTGATGTCATAATTTTAATGAGAGCTACAAAAATTTTCGAATCTTCTGACGTTGTCTTCTCTTAATCATGTATCTTTTTGTGATGCTTCCCAGGACTATAAATCATTTGATTAATTTATATAAATAATCTTGCGGTCGCTGGCCGAGAATAAGACATTTTGTTCACTGAAGTCAGATTAACATTAGAAAGACAAATCAGCAAATGCTTATAAAAAAGTAAGGTCCTGCTTATTCACGAAAAAAAGCCCTGCCTTATAATTCTTCGTCAGCGAAAATTCTAGCCAATCCTAAACGTGGGATGAGTAGTAATAAAAGCTGTTAGTTAATGAGAGAGATCAATGTCGTACGATAACTTTTTTAACAAGGTCCATGCTTTCAAGCCTATAGGAATAATTTAGCAAACATGGGTGGTCGCTTATTTCTGAGCACTTTCGCAATGTTTCTTCATAAAAGTCCAGGAAAATTGTAGCAATTCATCCATAAAAAATCCCACGTCGAATGGATGTTGGCGCGTCGCTAGCATTGTACCATCATGACGTACCCATCGCGTTGATAACACATAAAAATGATTACCGGTATTAGCTCTTGATAATAACCCGATTTTAATAGGCTAATCAAAGTGGACTTCGGACAGTTGGTGATACATGATCCAAGAGTACTACGCGGTAGAAAACATGGATGGGAAAAAGACAAGCACGAGCGCAGACTATCAACTGCATCAGCAAACCTTCGGTTGACCTCCTAGATAAAGAGCTTCGCCCCGCCGCGGTGCTCTAGTGGCTAAGGTACTCGGCTGCTGACCCGCAGGTCGTGGTATCGAATGCCGGCTGCAGCGGCTGCATTTCTGATGGAAGCGGAAATGTTGTAGGCCCGTGAGCTCAGAATTGCGTGCACGTTAAAGAACCCGAGGTGGTCGAAAATTTCGGAGCCCTCCACTACGGCGTCTCTCATGATCATATGGTGGTTCTGGGACGTTATACCCCACATATCAATGAATGATAAGGAGCTTCAATTTCTGGCAAATGGCGCATGTGTGTAATTCATCTGATATTCTGGCTCGTGCTTCGCGTATGTGAAGTCTGACTTTTTTTTCAAATGCTACCTTCCTTCTTTTCTTTCTTCGCTTTTTTCCTGGTTGTCATATATATATATATGCAATGCGGGATGAATAAAGCTTCAGTTTATAGTCTGCGCTTGTCATTGTCTTTTTCCCGTCCGTGTTTTCTTCCGCGTAGTACACTTAAATCATTTAATAGGCTACCGCGTTTATTCCACCACTCCCTACACCACACAGAAGTGTCACAACCATGCAGCTCGTCGCGCAGCCATTGAAGTGAGCACCATTAGTATACTATCTGCATGTACCGTTACTTTCGACTGCTGGACCACTGTGGTTCGCTATACTTCCTCGACGCCAGGGCAAGGCCTATATATAGCATAGGCGAAGTAAGCCGTGTTGGGCCCGTGAGATCAGCCAGCTTAGCTGAAATTTTCAAGATTTACGTGGCTAGTGTAATATTTTTCATCTTTTTCTTTTAAGACGGTATACTCTAAAGTTTTGCTAATTGGCTGGCACATTGACTGCACTCTCTGTAACGAGCAATGCTCATCAGCAGCCTCGTTTGCGATTATGCTACACTTCTAGAGGGCTTCACTTAGGAAGTGGCGTGCAAAAAAATTAATAGAGGAAATATAATATGCAAGAAAAATGTAACGATGGGACACCAGCTTGCTGCGAAGGCAGACAAATCCGCGGCGCATCGAAACGTGCATAAAAGCAAAAGGAAACGTCGCCCATCGCACGTGGAGGACACGGCATGAAATTAAAGACAGCCTTGCTTCAAGACCTCGCCTTTGGCGTTGTGCACAGGTGCTCTACTCAAATTAGACGAGATTAAATTCGTGCTTTAAAAGTCTGTCGACTCGATCGATGTTGCCGTTCTCGTTCTTGAGCATTTGCGTTGTTTCGACTTACATAACCTGGTGCTTTACTGAAACGTTTTCGGGCTTTTATTCATTTTCAGCTTAAGAGTACGCAAATTAGTGCAGCAGTACACTAACAAGGCTGTAGTTGCCAGCACGCTATGTTTTTTTTTTTTGTCGTTTGCTTCCCAAGAACGCAAGTTTTAAAGCAACACGCGTTCTTGAAACTATGCTGGCACATCGAAGGAGTGTAGTGGAAGTTTTCGAAGAGTGTGATTAATCTTATGAATTGTTAAGAAACTCTGGGGAACTTTCCTATTGAAGCAGGAAACTATTAGAAGCAAATAAATGAGGGGAGGGTGGAATTCGTGTATTCCGACTGCATTGTTTTCGGAAAAAATAAACGGGTCGAATCTACTGTGACACATTTCTATCTAAAACTATATTAACGAACAGCAAAACTAAACTGAAAACTGCTAGGCTTTTTTTTTTATAAAATAAAACACCGTTTGCCTGAAAGCGCCTCGTAATTAAGTCGCACATTTGCAACCGCCGCCTTACTTAACCGCGCCAAAATTTTGCGTGCCGGAAAATTGTGTTATTCTTCAATGACAAACTTAACGTTGTTAGTTTCAGGTATACCCTTCTGACCCGAAAACTTAACCACTCGCGCCACTATCATCCCCATAGTCGGGGTGGGTATAAAACGATTCAAAGCTGCTTACTTTAAGTGCTTGCTCTCTAGCCGGGCGGTTCGGACTAATAGTCTTTCATGTGCGACTATGCATAATTCAGGTAGCCCACAAATCTCCTTTTTCTGGCAAATGGGAAAAAGCGTTCTTCACAGATAATAAAGGACACTCTATCTAAAGCAGTTTCATTAGCCTTGTGATTTATTAGGACCGCGTCTTCATTAATGTGTCCTAAGCGTGTGATCGCAAGGTAACAAACCGGAATTTTATCCTGGTTAACCCATGTGCCTTTCTCTTAACCTTTTGCTACGTCCTTCTCCTAAACATATGAGTCTCGGGTTGCATAAAGAGAGTACGAATAGAAAAGCACAGAAGTTAACCAGGGCTGAGCCCTGTAAGATACCCAGCGCCGGGAGAAGAGGAAAGGAAAGTAATACGGGAAGAAAGAAGTCATCGTTTCAGCTGATGTAAGAGTTCTGTGTTTGATATTGTAACAGACAAGAAAAAGGTAGAGAAGAGAAGCAGAGGAAGACGAAGAGTCTTGGCACGATCGCAGTGTGCTGCCGCAAACGAGCATCGTTCACCTCCTCTAAATAAAACCATCTTATCACAGCTCGCTGTTACAGTTGTGGTGGACGTGCGGGGTAATTGATGAAGACGGAAGGTGAACCGCAAGTTCTTCGACGGAGCCGTCGCATTGCTGGACTTCCACCGAATCCGTCTGTCTGGACATGTCCCACAACGCAAATGAACACCGACCCCTCTCGACTTCTGCGCCGACCAGTTCGGCTCCACAACTGAGAGATGCTCGTCCCTTTGCCGGCAGACCAGGTGAAGACGCCGAGGCTTGGCTCATCCATTACAAACGGGTGAGCGCCGCTAACAAATGGGATGCCGCTTCTCAGCTTTTGTACGTCGCGTTCTTTCTGACGGATACTGCATTAATGTGGTACGAGAATCGGGAGGAAACGCTAACGACGTGGGACAGATTTGTTTCTGAAATCAAAGAGCGTTTCGGCGACCCAACAACGATAAAGAAAAGAGCAGAACAGACACTAATGCAACGCGCTCAAGTGCCAGGGGAAACTTGCACGACCTACATTGAGGAAGTCATAAAGCTATGTAGGACCATTTACTCCGGAATGTCTGAGGAAGACAAAGTCGGGCACATTCTAAAAGGAATCGCCGAGGATGTTTACAGTTTCCTCATCGCGAAAGACACCTTGACATCTGTCACCGATGTCATTCGTCATTGCCGCAATTTCTAGCAACTAAAGACGAGGCGCATCACGCCAAAGTTCGGCAGGCTACCCAATGTGACGACCATCGCGAGCATATACAGCAACCAGGCGCTTGATCTTGCAACAACAATCCGGCAGATAGTACGTGAAGAACTCGGCCTGTACGCGCAAGTGGCAAACCGCCCAAGCACTCATCCCCCCTATCAGCCACCAGAGTTCGAGTGAAACGTTGCTTCATTCTCCTCGAACCGAGTGGCGGAGAGCTTTGAGGATTCTGATGCCACACCTCAGTATCAGCCACGTCTATACGATAGAGGCCCTGCCTATGACGCACGATCACGACGAGCACAGCCACAATCTTATACTCAGGGCTCTCAGCCGGACTACGTCCCGCTGCGGCAAGGACAGTACCGACCCTACTACCAAGATGTAACTTACGACGAATACAATGAATTCCAGAGAGTGGCAGAAACCCGTTCTTCGCGTGATAACGAACTTCCTCGCCGACAGCAGCGGCCCAGGATTCGTTCCAATGAATATGGTATAAACCGTGACCCTCCCGTGTGCTACAACTGTGGTTTCACTGGGCATATTGCTCGTATTGCCGCCAACGACGCCGCCAATCACGAAGGACACCAGCCATGTCTTCGTCACCAAGACCCGGTGCTTCATATGACCTGCGGACAACCGACTTGTTTCCAAGGGACCGTTTTTCGCGCGAGACCAGACGCAGTGATTCGCCAGCATCCGAGCGGAGTTTGACACCACCATCCAACCGTTCTCGTCGCTCGCCGTCTCCTCTGCGTCGTTCTTCTGCGCCGCAGGGAAACTAGCATCCGTGACCAATGGAGGTGAGGTCGCCGGACGGTCTTTTCAAGATATACCTCTGCCTATTGTTATGATCAAAACAAAGTGAATGTGTTGATTGATGGAATACCGACGATGGCGTTAGTTGACACTGGGGCGACTGTGTCTGTGATGACCTCGCCCTCAGAAACCGCTTAGGTCGCAAAGTTATGTTTTCATGGGATGATACAATCACCTTTCGTGGTGTAGGCGGCGGGTGGCTTAATCCTCTTGGTGTATGTGCTGTCAGTGTTTCATTGGCTGGAAAAGTATTTGTATCGG